TACTGGAACATCTTCTTGAATAAGCAATCAAATAAGTACTTATGGAACATATTCTCAAATAAACACTTCTTGGACATATCTCGAAAATTATGAATGAATTTTGATTGTCAATTGAAACATTTATCAATCTAATATTATTTAGAATGCAGAAAATAAGTTAAACTAACTTCATTTTGACGAATTTTTTTTTATTTTCATGAAAAATTTGCTGAAATGAGTGAAAATTAAAAAAAACGGTGTATTTTCCAGGATAAAAATCCGTACAATCCGTACAATTTGAAAACAAATCCGTACAATCCGTACAATTTTAGGGTTAAAAAAAATCAATCCGTACAATCCGTACATTTTGGCCACCCTGTAGTTCTCTAAATATCACATTCGTGGGAAAAAGATCTGATTACGTGAGATTACTCTAAATAAGAACTTACCAACATATCATGAAATAAAAATAAAATAAACCCCCATCCAAAGATTTATACAAAGATTTAACATCATTGAAAAGATTGTTTCATCCAGTTTTCGCATACATTTATCAAACTTTGAACCCAAAAATGTATTTCTTTCTAAAAAGATCTTTTTTGGTATGCATCAATCCCGCTAGTCTAAAAACTTAACTTTCCAGGTCCATGTTTACAAAGGATTATTCAAAATTCAAGGATAAACCCTTTGGTTACATCCCACAGGTTATCGTTAAATTCTCAATGGGTTTAAATTTGGTTCAAACAATTTTATGAGAGTAAGTGATACATTTATGTTACTCTGAGAGAACACACACATTTATTTTCACCAATTCAGCAAATAACCTTTGAAAAATATTATTCATATTCAAAAATGCATCTAGGAGAAAAATTCAAGAAAATATACACCTCTATTGCTAACTGAATGTTCATTTGAAAACCAAAGAGAGCCACTGCGGAGTACACTTCAAATGCCATTAAAAAATCATAATATACTATATTTAAAAAAAATATAAAAACTTGTAGCCCCACAAATAAAAATGGGTTTAAAATTAAAGTTCCCTAACATCTGGATCACCGTGAAATAGATTCCAGGGCATCAAGAACCAAATCTAGTTGCTCCTTGCTTGTTTCTCGTCCCACACTTAACCTAAGATAATTAAGGGATTGCATTATAAAAAAATACAAAAAATCCTTCCCTACAAAAAAGAGCGCTTTCTTCACAATCTTTTTTCTAACCATATTTTTTTTGTTTTGATATTTTTTATGTTGAATTCTGGGTTTTAGAGGAAGATAGTAAAATGATGTAAGAAAATGTCTGCAAGTAATTGTTCCATTTTTCATGTTTAATTCCAAAATCCAAATGTTCTAATCTTACCCCTCGGCCCCGACCCGTCATGAGGGATTAATATTTGAAAATTTAACCTTACATGAAATCATTAGCCAGTTAAACGATATGATCTCTTGCCACAATTTTTGTTATTTTATACTGAAGCTGTATTCTAGATATTTTACTCTTGTGAGAACCCCGCAGAAATCTTAATCTACGGTATTTTAAAATGTACAACTGTGGAATGTTAATGGTTTTCAATAATTCAAATTTCAAAATAAATCTAAAATGATGTGCTGTAGGGTAAACACTCACAGAAAAATATTTAAACAAAGTTTTCTATTAGTATTAGAAACCACCAGGGCCTCTTTAAACTAAATTTAAAGGTAAACATTTTTTGAAGAATAGAAAATGTTTATTAAATACCATTTTTTACAAAATATTTAGGGGGTAATTACCTACAAAGTTTTTATTCTTTTTCTTTGTTTACCATTAACTTCTTTTTTGTTCTAGTCCAGTGTCCATCAGTAAGAGTATTATAGTATATACGACCATTTTTTTACTTATGAAAATGCCAAGCCTTTAATTTCATTTGCACACACTAATGGTTGATGTTATAATTTTTCAATGTTATATATTATATGTTATATTATAAGGCTCTTTGCTTATATATATATATACATTTTTATAAGCACATATATATTTTATATACACATTTTAGCTATAGCCGGTGAAACGGCTGAACCAAATTGGCTTACATTTTTTGGGGTAATTTTTTTCAAGATAAAAATTTTAAATTCATTTCAGCTAATATACCTTAAAGTTTGTCTTGCTCCCTCTTCTTCCCAATTCCAGGAGTTTAAAAGAGTTTGAGATACTTTATCTCCAGAATGGCAAGCTGCTCCTGGATAAATTCTTAATTTGATCAAAAAAAAATTATTTAAAGGGATTGTCTGCGAATTTTGAGGAAAAATCTGGTACAATTTAAATCGGAATTATTAAAATAATTTAAAATTGTTTGACAGAGACGTAATTTATCATATAACACTGCTCATTGCAAAAATTTATTTGCACAAAATATATAATATATATACAAAAAGGTCAAAAATATGATTCGGTTGATATTTTATTTTCAAGTTTTAAGAATTTGCTCAGAAATGTCAACTTTCCGAATTTCCTTAATTGAATTTTAAGAACTAAATCCCATTTCTCCGATCCTGTCTATTTTCTTTCGATCATAACCATTCTTAAAATTATAAAAGGAAATGATATTGAAAATCAGAAAAAGGAAGTATTGCACCAGTTTGCGGAACTTTCAGTCCAAAGTAATGAAGTTTAAAGAACAGTAAAATTATTTCTATAAAAGCTAAAGATAGAAAACTACAGAACCGGAAGGAATAAAAAGAAAAAAAAATTACGTAGCTAAAATTCATTAAATTCGGTTCCTGTAACAAAAGACAAAAAAAACATTTAGAATGGCTCATTCAGAGTAAGTAGCCAACTTAATAATAGGAACAAACCTCAAGTCACCGCATGACGCTAAACCATACCTGTTGATGCAATGCAAATATAATTTACTTGATGCAGGATGCGGGACACTGGTTTAACTGTTGATACAGTGAGAATATGGTTGAGTTGATGCAGGATGCAGGACACTGGTTTACCTGTTGATACAGTGAGAATATGGTTGAGTTGAAGCAGGATGCAGGACACTGGTATACCTGTTGATGCAATGGGAATATGGTTTAGTTCATGTAGGATGCAGGACACTGGTATACCTGTTGATACAATGAGAATATGGTTGAGTTGATTCCAGGAGGCAAGAAACTGATATACCTGTTGATGCAATGGGAAATGGTTGAGTTGATGCTGGATATATAACACTAGTTTACCTGTTGATGCAATGAGAATATGGTTTAGTTGATGCAGGATACTAGATCCTGTGGTTCCTCCAAATCTAACACTAAGAGTGTTGGGTAGCATGTTTATGTCAACATATCTCCAGAGAACCTAGGCAGACATAAATTATTGCCCCTCTATTTATAACTTTTTTATTTATTAATTAAAGAAAAGTTTGGAAATTTTAATCAACCAAGGGTTCCCTGAAGACGCTACACTACGCTCTGAATGTTGCGTCAAAATCGGTCAACTTTTGGTACAGAAAAGAGTAGTCGCTATTGAGGTGCCCAACGGCAGGGTTATTCAACAATTTTTTTTTTTTTTTTTTTTTTGGGGGGGGGGGGGGTATGACCCAAAGGGTCTTTGCCGGGGGCCTAAAATAAAAAAAAATAGTTTTTCAATGATTTAAACGATTTTTCAAAGCCCAAGAAGGGACCATACACAACAAGCAATATTAATTCTTTCTTCCTCCGCTATCTGCATGATGTAGACTAAAATATAAAAAAGTACTCTTCTTGATACCTATCCCATATTCTCCATAACAAAATGTATAAATGGAGATTTCAAGAAAATTCCGAAAATTTATTATTTTTATACCGTACATCAAAATTTAGGCTTATACACCTACAGAATTAGGCATATCTTACATCTATACTCTAGCATATATACCTAGACATTCAGGCATATACACCTAGACAGTTAGACATATCTTACATCCATACTCAGACATAAATCAGGAAAGAGTTTGGAGAACCCAGACCGCCATCGGGTGGATATTCTTTCGCATACATATCTAGACAGATAGACATATCTCACATTCATTCTCAGGCATGTATACCTAGACAGTTGGATATATCATACTTCCTTACTCAGACATATATATCTAGACAGTTACGACATATTTCACATTCATACTCAGGCATGTATACCTAGACAGTTGGATATATCATACATCCTTACTCAGGCATATATACCTAGACAGTTAGACATATTTCACATTCATACTCAGGCATGTATTCCTAGACAGTTGGATATATCATACAGCCTTACTCAGACATATATACCTAGACAGTTAGACATATCTCACATTCATACTCAGGCATGTATACCTAGACAGTTGGACATATCATCCTGACTCGGGACATATATAACAAGACAGCTAGATAAATCAGATAGTTGGACATATCATACATCCATACTCAGGCACATATACCTAAACAGTTAGGCATATCTTACATGATTTTATATTTTGCGGATTCCAAGTATTATAACAAAAAAGAGCCAAAGAGGCATATTTAGATAGACAGGCAGACATATCAGACATATATAGATGTAAGATGCATAATTCTGTAGGTGTATAAGCCTAAGTTTTGATTTACGGTATGAAAATCATAAATTTTCAGAATTTTTTGAAAATCTTCATTTCTACATTTTATTTTTCAGAGAATATGGGATAGATATCAAGAAGAGTATATTTTATATGTTAGTCTACATCATGTATATTACCGAGGAAGAAAAAAATGAGGATTGTTTGAAGGAATAAGGTCTTTGCTCGGGCTTTAAAAAATCGTTAAAATCACCAAAAAACGGCCGTTTTTTCAAACTTTATGCCCTAGGCAGGAATCCATAAATGTTGTCTTTGGGCACCTCAATAGCAACTACTTTCTTCTATACTACAAGTTGACTGATTTTGACATTGGCAAAATTGATGTCTAAGCAAATTGGCTGAAAAAAACTGGTGTATAAGTAAAATGTTTCATTTCGCCCTAAAAAATATTTTCGGCTTTTTGAGATTAAATGCACGAAGCTTGGACGAAAACTTTACAGAGTAGGATGTTAATTTTCTTAATTATTCCAAATGACAGTTTCTTAACTTAACAGTTAACATATAACAGTTGGGGTAATCAATCATGCGTAGATAATGTTGGTCAAAAGGCGCCCCCCCCCACGGTGGGGTATTCTAGGGGTCATGAATTGTCACTTGCATTGATTTTAAATGATTTCAATTTATAATCACTTTTCCCGTCCATATATTTATCCTTGAATGGATCCTGTAATCCCGCAATTTTTTTAGATGTCGTATTTGTGACAGCGAGTATTTCGGAAGAAAAACATATATTTTACAGTAAAAGCAAAAGAAAGCAGTAGCGCGCGCGTTGAAAATCCTATTTTAAGAGTTTTTAATGAAATAGCGGGATTTCGGTCGAAATTCTTAACTAAAACATAACATTTTAACAACTTGGAAACTTCTCTGAAAAAAAATCTTAAGCGGAAAAGCCTTATTTGACATAAATAAAAGGTTTATTGAATAAATACATTTTGGCTGACCATCCCATAATACCCCACTGTGCCCACCCCCCACACCCCCTTTGAAAATTCATTTATTTTTATAAACGGTAAAATAAACCAATAAAAACCAATCTCCGGTTTTATTTGGAAAAAAATTGCTCAGTCATATTAATACTAATCATTCATTCTAGAGAAACGTGAATGAAATTCTTTTTCTGAAGGCATCTCTACTCTGGTATCTCTGGCATCAATTAATAAAACAAATTATGAATGACGAAAAATAATCAATATTATTTGAATATTTTGATGCACAATGCTCAACATTTTACCCAAGAAAGAAACCCCCATATCTTTGTTTACTTTTGCTAGTGTACTGCAGTGTTTGGGTATAGAACAAACAAATTCGGTGCTTCTCAGGTTTTATTTGTTTCTCTCCCAAAAACTTGCAGTAAACTCACTTTTTAAACTCTTTTTTTTTGCCTTAACTAACAGCACTAATTCATGTCGCTAATGAATAATTTTCAATATATTCTCTTCTTTTCATTTAAAATGTTTTCTTAAAAATTGAAATTATTTTAACAAACACGTTTAATAGTAACCTGTCCAAGATCTAAAGTTCCAGTATCCTCCAGAACTAAAGAAGTATGTATTAAATTTCATAAAATGTGAAATTTTTGTTCTTTTTTAAATCGAAAAAGTGTGTATAACTTTTCCATAAAAACTATTTTGAAATAGATGAACATCAATTCACAATTCAATTTTTCAATGAAGATCTGAAAGTTCAGTTTAAAAAAAAAACCAAAAAAATAAGCATAATTTGACAAAAAAAAGGCCAGTTCTTAAATTGTCGAAATCCGCAAGTACAGTTAAAAAAAATCTTCTAAAGTTCTTACTCAATATGAAATTACCTAGGTTAAATTTTCTTATCAGTCCATCTCTCAAATAGTCCCTCATTTTCCTCATATGATTTGTGTAAACATCTAAAAAATTAAATTTTCTTCTTGGCTAACCAATTTCTTCAGAAATGACATGTACAAACCATTGCTTGTTCGTTTTATAAAAACTTTTGAGGTTTTTGGACTTACAGAGGTTCCACGAAAATCTAAATTATACGAAATAAAAAATTTTAATTCGTAAACATTTTCTTTTCTTACACTACGTGGACTTAAAGAGGTTCCACGGAAATCTGAATTATACGAAATAACAAATTTTAATTCGTTGTGGAAGACGATGCCTGGCCGCGTTAAACAAGTTCCACAAGATTCAACAGAATGAGATAGAACGGATACGGGGCATAGTACTGAAAAAACATCTACACGTGTGATATCGATATTGACTCTAGTTCTGAACCCTCTAGTAATAAGTTATAAGAAATATATATACTGGAAGTTATTTATGCGTTTTTATTAGAGTCTGACTTACGTCCTCTATATCGTAAACATTTTCTTTTCTTACACTAAGTCCAATAATGTCCCTAGAGAGAAAACTGCGAAAAACAATCAAAAACGAGCGTTTTAGCTTCTTTTATTTCCATTTTATTTTCTCTATGGATAAAAATATTACAAAGTTAAAAAAAAAAACTATTTTTACATAATAAAGTTCAGAAATAATGGAAGTTCACAGTATTTGTACATGGTGCCATTTATAAGTCTAAAAACCTCAATAACGAACCAAGCTAATAAATCTACATTCTACATGTCCGACGAACGTCCACAGACATAAATAAGTAGTGGGATTAGAGCGTTGTCAAAAGTTTAAATAAGTTATAAAAAGTACTTTGGAATTAATCAGTAGTACTTATTTAAGTTCAGTTTGATAACTGTTGCATGAAAGAAAAACATTTTCCATCTGTTGTGACTGTGTGACTTATTAAAAAGCCTAGGAAAAAACTTTACAAACTTTAAAAAGATTTTTTGCACTGAATTTGCATTTTTTTGTTGTTGATAATTATTTTAAGATTTCGTAAACTGTGCTAAAAGATTATGTATCAGTTGACTCATATTTGTAAAAAAAAACAGGACAGGATTAGAATTAAGATTTTAAATGATTCAATATTCCTTTCAATGTAAATAAATTTGATTTTTTTGAAGTATAATTTTTACCTAAATTTGTGTTAACCAGTTCAGCAGCTTGTCCTATGCCCACAATCATTGGTGTGTTCTCTGTTCCAGCTCTAAGCAAATATCTTTAAAGTGACTGTAGCAAAAACAGACTGGTTAAACATAACTTAGCATTATCGTAGGACGCTGATTTTTTGCATCCGAACTCACTAATTTGTATTGTAACTGCCAAATGCAATTTCAAAACATCGGAGCAAATGTGCGCGCGGGTGCGCTTTTTGTTAAAAAATACGACTTTTTCACTTTTTACAAGCTTTACAACGTTAAATGAACTTGCAATTGTATCAGGACGCGATTATTCAAGAAATACCTGACAATTTTGCTCCCTAGAGCCTCAAGTCCCCGCGCGCGCGCAATTAAAAAATAAAATAAAAATGTTTTTTAATTAAAGTTGGGCCTAATTCAGAACAAAAGTAGTATGCAATATATCAAAATACAGGTAAATTGGGACACGGAATTAATTTTCGAGGTCAAAATTGACTTTAGAGCATTCTGACAGGCGCGCTAGCAGCCAGATGTCACATTGTGTATCGCATGCTACTGTATATCGCATTTTTTTAACAAAAAGCGAGCGCGCGAACGCATTTCCTCCGATCTTTTTGAAATTGCATTTTGCAGTTACTATACATATTAGCGAGTTCGCATGGAAAAAATCAGCGTCCTACGACAATGCTAAGTTATGTTTAAACACTGTTTAAATTTTCCGAAGAGTAATACACGACTTATGCCCCCCCCCCCCCTTTCTAATAATGATATTGTTCTGTCTATAAATATAGAACTAATATATGTAATAATTCTGTCAGGTATATTACAAATATTTGACAAGCAACATTGGATTGTATAAAAGGAAAACACACATATTAAAGAATGTTTAAACTTTGTGAGAAGAAATTATGTTATTTTCTTGTTCTCTTAGAACCAGTTTCTAAACGCACCACTACCGCCTTTTTCCTCAAAAAGACTGAAAGCGCCATTTCAAGTGACCTTCTATGCAATACTCAATGAACAACGGTACCCTTGAAACCTTAATCTAATCAAAAACGAGGAAAATAACGTCGGTTTTCTGACTAGAGAAGTGATTAATTCTGATAATTTTTCCATTGTTTCTTAAACGCAAAAAATATGCAAGTCACTTTTGCAGAGAACCCAAAAACAAACACAGTTTAAAAAATGATGAATATCTTTTTCATATTTGAGCAGACAAAGATTTTAGAGGAAACCATTTTAAGTAGAGAATTTGACTGGAGGGTTACTGAAATTACGCTTACTGTCCCTTTAAGCTTGAGTGTCAAAAAATGGGGTCAATGCAAGAAAAATTATAAGATTAAAAACTTAAATTATTGCTGGAAAGCCGGGCGCGAAATGCCCTGGATAAATTGTTACTGAAAAAAAATCAAGTTCTTTGGTACAGTTATATTCCTTCTAATTTATGCAGAATAATCCTCTCTTGAGAATTAAAATATTTTAATATAAAGTAAAAGTATAAAGCATTTTTCTATTCATTCCCACACGTCACTGCAGGTACAGGTATAACTTTATAATAAGCTTAATGATAGTTTTATCACGTAGTTAAAAACTTTTTAATCGAAAAATTCTAAAGAGTTCCTAAATTATTCAAAACTGATCTAAGTGCAATTTTTTTAATGATCAATGACAAATAATTTTTAAGGAGGAAGGAAAAGGGACTTTTCAAATAAAAAACCATAAAAATGAAAAAAACATCTAACCTAAGACCATATTCTTGTCCTCCACCCAATAAGAGAGGAGAAACCTTCCATTTATCTGAGCCTCTATGATACAAAGCTCCAATACGAGGACCATAAAACTTGTGTCCAACAATTGTCAAAAGATCTGCCTAAATAACAAAAAGAACATGGCATACAAGGCTCTCAGCCTAAGAAGCTTAGAATCCAAACCGAACCCAGCATAACTTTGTCCTAGGACTTAGCCTTACATTTACTTTATTTACTTTAAATATTTCTAAAGGTGATGGTGGACACTGAAGATGTCCTATTTTAAGAGGGGGGGGGGGGGAAAAAATGAATCCAGTGTTTGGCCTTCTAATAACCTCAAAGACCTAAAATGACCTCCAAAATGAAAATGTTATAACTATGACTTTATGTGTATCAAACAATAGCTAGGAACCCAGGGAATACAGTAGCAGCAACTAATTCAGTGTTTGATCTTCTAATGACCTCTAACGACATTTAATGACCTCCATCTTATTAATGTTTTAACTAGGCTTTATGTAATTCAAACGAAAGCTAGGAACCCAGGCAATAAAGTAGCAGCTGGGTGTTGTTGTTAATGTAGCTGTTATGAATATAAATACCTGAAGATCATCAACATTAACATCAAGCTTGCCAATTGTTTGAGCAGCATCTGTATGAACAAGAATAGGAATATTTCGTGTCATGTTTAGCGCAGTAATCTCTCTAAAATATCAAGTTAAAGTTAGAAGAAGCAATGAAGAAATTATCAGAATTTAACACTTTGAGTCAGTAAAACGAGGTTATCTTCCACATTTTTGATCATATTGAGGTTTTAAGGGAACCAATAGCCATCTTTTCATAGAAGGTCACTTGAAATTACGCATACAGTCCCTTTAATAGAATTCTAAGAACTCAAGAAGAGACAAGGTTCTTATTGATTATTCAGCAATTCAACTCACTAATCCTTAATTCGTCGTTGCTTAAAACATTGAAAACTAGAGAAGAATTTTAGGAAAAAAATCTTATAAGAAGTCTTATTTTAAAAACCTTTCCCAAAATATAAAAAAACTTAAACGCAAATAGGTAGCAAAGTCCTGGTATGAGACCTGAAAATTTGTTTGACCGGCTGAATTATTCCTGTTTCATTGTTGGCCATCATAACAGTGACCAGACATGTACAATCAGTTACTGTACTGACCAGCTCAGCTACACTCACCCGACCTGTACCTAAAAAGTTCAGTTCAGTTCAGTTCAGTTCAGTTCAGTTCAGTTCAGTTCAGTTCAGTTCAGTTCAGTTCAGTTCAGTTCAGTTCAGTTCAGTTCAGTTCAGTAGATTGTGGAGTTAATCTATTCAACCTTAATAAAATGTTGTCAAACCTGATTTGAAATATAAAGTGTAGATTAATCTTAAAGAATCTCAATTTTGTTAGAACTTTTAAATGTCAAGGAATTAATGAGCTAATCAAACATTTGTCTAACTAATTTATGTTTATATTTTTATATAAATAACCCTTATTTTTCTGTTCTAAAACCAAAGTGTACGAGTAAAAATTTATAAAACAAAATATCTCTTTGTACGAAATTAGTTACCTTTAACAACCGGTACATAGTCCACTTGGCATACTCCTTCATTTTCAAGCTTTCTAGAAAATATAAATTGGAGAAATTTTTTAATTTTTTAAAATTTTTTGTTATATTTTAAATTGACCTTAATGGCTCCAAAATTGCTGAATGTTCTATGTTAGTTGTGATGATTTGAGGGGTCTTTTTACTCCTTTCCCTAGAAAAAAAATCCATCGTATTCCACTAGTGGCCAAATTCGACTCTATATTGAAATGTTACAATCCCAAAATTTGCTAAAGTTTGTGCCAGTCTTAATGCAAATCTTAACGACCCTACCAATTTCTTCCCCTTTAAAAGAGAAATATGTGTTTAAAAATCTATTTTTAGGCTGATTTAATCAAAATCAATGATTTTAAGAGATTATTAAATAAAAATTTTGGAGTAAAAAGTTTTATGATTGCTTATTTATTTGAAATCTCAAAAACAAAAAAATTCACAATAGTTAAACTTTGGAATATTAATGTTCTTGTTTATATTTGATGAAAATATATTGGATAATGTTCTTGTTTATATTTGATGAAAATATATTGGATAAATGTTAAAAGATTGGTTTCTAGAAATGTTTGCATACAAATAATTGAATAGAATTTAAAAAAAGATTTTAAAAACAGTTTTCATAAAAGTTCATACAATAACAATTTACATAAAATCATGAGATTGAATTAAAAAAATATGTTTTTGACGCGATAAAAATTATTAATATAAAAATAATAAAATCAAAATCATAATTAGGAAAAAAATGATATTATTAAAAATAGTTTTATTATTTTGATTGTTTTTGTTGTAAAAAATCTAAGATAATTAAGTTAAAATTACCCCTGTAATCTGGACATTTGTTTCTACCCTCTGCCCATTTTGCTATACTGTAAATGGTCTTAACGAGTAAAAAGCTTATTTTGATATTGTTCATGTAAAACAAAATAATGTTTGTATAATTTTTAGAATTATTTCCGTTAACTGCATCAGAGGTCTAATATGAGACCAATAGGAAGAATAATACCATTTATTAAATGCATTAGCATAGATGGACATACTTACGAGAATATATATGAGTTTATGTACGGCTGCAAAGAATGCATTGTATAGCATAGATGGACAGACTTACGAGAATATATATGAGTTTATGTACGGCTGCAAAGAATGCATTGTATAGAATAGATGGACAGACTTACGAGAATATATATATGAGTTTATGTACGGCTGCAAAGAATGCATTGCATAGCATAGATGCAAAAACTTTTAAAAGAAAATACAAACATGTTACCAAGTTGTCCTATGATATATTAAACGTTAATCTTTAATAATAATAAAAATAATAAAAATACACTTTGAAAAAGTTCAGAACGTACTGTACAAACATCCGATAAAAATTGGAAAAATATTATTGAATTGATTTTCAGAAAATACCCTGTAAATGTATTGGGTTAATAACAAGGAAACCTAATAACATTTTATATAACTGTCCAGCTGTAAACAAACTTAAAATCTTATTTGAAAGGAAATGATGAAGTTGATATAAAACAAATTATTGAGTTGAAACAAAACAAGTAATGATATCAAAGACGATAGCGATCACTATTATGATTACAAATACGATTATGATTGCGAATGATAACGGTAATGGTAATAGAAATGTTAATGTGAACGGTAATTACAATAGCAATGACCATGACAATGAAACTGATAAGGAGAATGCAACTATTAATGAGAATTACAATGGCAATGAAAATAATAATGATAAAAATAATGATAATAACAATGACAATGACTATGACTACGACTATGACTAAGCCTACGACTACAAATCCAACGAAAACAACAACAACACGATTACGAAAACGACAATGACAACAAAAACAACAACGACAACGATAACAACGTAAGTTATATGTTAATTGGAATAAAAAATTCCCTACTATGAAATACCTAAAATGATGTATTGAAAGTATGGAATACCTAAAATGATGTTTTGAAAGTGTAGAATACCTAAAATGATGTTTTTAAAGTATAGAATACCTAAAATGATGCAAGTATTGAATACCTTGAATGATATTGAAAGTATGGAATACCTAATATTATTAGTTGAAAGTATGGAATACCTAAAATAATTTATTGAACGTATGTAATACCTAAAATTATTTATTGAAAGTATGGAATACCTAAAATGATGTATTGCAGTCCAAATTGCCAAATGGTTGGATTCTGTTCCTCCTGATGTAAAGGTTATTTCACTGCTCTAAATACACTTTTTGTGATTTCAGCAAAAAATGGCATCTTTAAGAATATTATTATCTTTATATAATTTTTATTCGTAATCGGAACAATAAATATAAAAAATTGTTAATCTTTGTTATGGAGAAAATGTTAGTAAAAATCACAACAACCAGACAAAATTTGGACGATGATGGGGAATTCTAGACTAATCATATTTTGATTTTTCCTCAATATTGAACAATTATAAAGCAAAACCATTCAATTTTATTAAAAATCTCAAAAATTTCTTAATATAAAAATTATGTAAGTTTATTAATACATAAATAATTATTGAAAAGTGAGAAATTTAATTTATTTTCATGTATTATCCACTTCTGTCTTCTAATACCGAACTTAAAGGGACTGACACCATAATATCAAAAAACCCTCCATCGATGGAAATTAAATTTCTAAGGGAGTCACAAGATACCTTGAAAACCTTCGCCAGGGCAAAAAAGGTGAAGATTTCTTTGTTAACCAACATGAAAATTAATAATTTCTCTTTAACAGTAGGTTGTCAAATTAAACAAGATAAAGGGTTAAAGGATCCTGTACTTTAAAATCCGGGTTAATTGAAACAATGTCGACCAAACAGATTGTTAAGTACAATAGATGGTAAAGTAGTATTTGTGCACTCTCAGTACAGCTGTATTCTAACATCACAAGTGTCAACTCAGTATTGTGTCCGACAAAATTATTAATAATAGTGATAATGTTAGAATAAAGAGCTTATCTTACAGTGAAAATGGTGCAATTTTATGTATTATTTATTTTCTTTTTTTACACTTCTTTATTTAATCTTGAAAAACATGTCAAATAATGCGAGAAAATTTCGTTTTCCTTGTTATATTTGACACTTGTGACGTCGTGTATAATTGATCCATTTCTATTGTCACCTATTGTACTTAATAACCTATTTGATGTCGACTATCCCTTTATGTAACTAATTTTATATAAAAAGAATGAATATCTAATCTTCATTAATAATTGATGAAAATGAATAAATCAGAGCAACCTTTATCACACCGCGTAATATTATAAACAAAATTAACAATGTTTTGGGGACCACTGCACAAACGATCGTCTTTAAAAACGACCCACTCGTTTTGAACTTTTAGAAAACAAATAACGATAATTTTTAAAACTATCGTTTTATTAAAACGATTTGCGACCGTTTTCTATATGATTATTTTAAAAACGATCGTTTTTGAAAAAAAAATTTTATTGACAATTATGTTAACGATCGTTAACAAAGGGTTGTCGTTAACGATCATTAACGAAACGACGAACTTTATCAAAACGGTCGTTTTTGGAAAAAAATTACATGCAACTTTATTGAATGTCCTCTTACATGAAGTTGAACAGTTGTGGGGGAGTTAAAACTTCTTGCTATTTTCTTAAAAACTACTCAATGATTAGTACAGTTGCCCTTCAGGTCGGTTTCCTCTTTTTGTTAACGATCGTTAACGAAGGGTCGTCGTTAACGATCTTTAACGAAACGACGAATTTATAAAAACGAGCGCTTTGAAAAACGATCGTTTTAAAAAGACAATTTTTAAAAAAACGAACTATTTAAAAAAACGATCGTTTTTGAAAACGATCGTTTCGTTTTCGATTTTTCGTCGTCGTTTTCATATAGAAACGATCGTTTTTCTGAAAAATGAAAACGTTAACATCCCTATGCATAGTACTATTTTTATACCTTAGCACCTATCATAGAAGCAACCTGGCCTCTGGCCTAAAATACAACATTTTAAAACCTTATTTTAAGATTTCAGTACGGATTTATAGTTGAAAAATGAAAAAAGTATTCCAAAGTTTAAAAATTATAAATAAATGCATTTTACTTTACAATTTGCATTGTACACTAAACTAGTTGTGTGTACATACAGCTAGTTAACTATACACACAATATATATAATAGATGTGTAAATAATTGTACAATGTATATTGTACAGTACCGTGAAAATTAAATGGAAAATGAATATATTATGATTCGATTTTACACCAAAACATTTCTTTGCTTGTCTCTGAATTTTGTAAAAAAGTATGATTTGAAGATGTCTTTGAAATTTATGTTTCATGACTTTAAACTAGACAAAACCAAACAAAAAAATTTAACAAAATTGGTGCCACATCTCATTATTAAGGAAAATGTTATTGCTAGGTTTATAGAAACCTGTCAGAATGACATTAAAACTCATCAAAAACTTGACAAAACAGTTTTTCATCTCTAAACTCACTTATTTATCAACATTCTTTTTTAAAAACTTTTACATCTCATTTTTTTTTGAAAAAATCGAATTAATTTTTACCTTTTCTATCGCTTTTTTTGCTTGAACACCTAGCAGTGTAAACCTTTACAATCCTAGATACATGACTAAAATTTCAACAGAAATTGACAGTGAAATGGGGGGAGGGGTGCAGAAGTCCTCAATTTGTAATCAGCACCACAGAAATGCGCGCTCCACAATTTGTAATGGTGTAACTGAAACTGAATTCAATTTTATTTCTCTGTCTACAGCATCAACAGTCAACAATTTAATTGTTTGTCGAATTTTCGAAGTTGGGCTGCTTTACATAAAATATTAGATGAAGGGTGTCCCAATAATCATCGAAAATAAGAAATGACATTAAAACCGTCGTTGATTTAAATTTATTAGAAATGTCTGAATAAAAAATTTGGTTGCTCCTTTATTAAAAAACCCTTTTACATAGAAACTTTGTAACTAGTATTTATATATGTAAAAAATCGTTATATAATTCCATTTTTTTAGAACATCCAGTCACCATGTGCCTTCTTTTACTAATTTAGGTTAAAACAGTAAAGGTTTCCTAAATAGTGTGCGGAGCTAGGATTTCCCCAATTATCCAAACTGTCAACTATAGCTGACCTAACCTAAGGTAAATATTTAAAATTTATATGTAATAAAATCTTTATATCTTCTGAAACTCTCAAAAAAATAATTGTTATTTCATTCAGCCTTGGGATGTGCAATATTTGTTAGTCTCAAAATATTTATTGATAAATAATAAAAACGATTCTACCAAAACATTTTTGTCTAATATGTAGGGTTGTTGATCGTTTTGGTTCGCTTTTAAAATTTGTCAATAAAATCGAATAAAATCAGACAATTGGTCAGAAAAATAGGCAAAAATCGAAACCAACACACATCAATAAATATTTTAATTTTTGGTAGCTGTTTTATGTTGATATGGAACTCCGCTTAGCCAAATTAGAGATGAAATCTGATCAAAATTAAGTTCTGCCATAATGCTTAAAAATATGAAAGTTTTGGACACTTAAGCTCTCAGGAACATCTTGAAATGGTGAGAAAGGCTCATTTGCGATTTTAAATTGAAAAATGAAGGAATTCATGCATTTTGAAATGAATGAACAATCCCTTTATGGTATCTTCTTTTCATACCTCCGGAGCTAGTGGAGTAGTAGCATTATAATCCAGGTATACTGGCTTCACATCCATAAATATGGATTCGGCCATTTTTATTCTAAAATATTGTCAGAAATATTTTTAAAACTAATTCAACTAACACAGGTTGATTACACATCAAGTTTTAAATTTTATATTTATTAGGAAGTTTATATTTAAGGTCCCCAAAAGCTTTAATCTTTTTGTTTACAAACTTTATTTTGTTCTGTCAAAACAATTCTTTTAATTAAATCTCAGAACTTAAAATCTAATTTTAGTAAAACTTTAAACTTCACAAACTTAATCAAAATAAAAAATTTTAAAAATAAATTCAAAATATAAATATGAACTGCACTAAAATAATAATGCAAAATATAAATATGAACTGCACTAAAATAATAATGCAAAATATAAATATGAACTGCACTAAAATAATAATGCAAAATACTTTCAAAATTTGGTCATGAGAGTAGATTTTTCATTTGTCATGTCAACTTTGGTAAGTTGCATTTTTAAATCAAAAAATTATAAAACCCTTAAAAATATTTAAAATTTCCAGCTTATTTGAAGCAATATTAGAAATATTTGTAGATAAAACTTTGCAAGTTGTTTCGAGATGTAACTTTTAAAAGCATTAAAAAAAATTTGTTCAGTCTTTTGTTGGCTTTTTCTTTTGAAACAAAACATGAATGAGGTTATGGCATGTTTTTATTGGATTTTAGTTCAGTATATTTTATAATTTATCAATGATTCGATAAATAACGAAATATTACAAATTCTGTTCTGTTGTCACACAATGATATATCAATCAATCAAAGGTTGGTCAATGATTATTGCTAAACACAACAGTCATAATAAATATTAATAGAAAAACAATTAAACACTCCTTTATTTTAGTGTTTATGGTAGCAGTGCTGTACAAATCTTGATTGATTCCTTAATAGCCACTTTTATGAGATGTCATTAAATTGAATTAGATACAACACTATATTACGATATTTGAAAGATTTACACTAACACAAAATCTATCTTTTATTCTTATTTAAACTGTTCTGAACTACACAATTCACACTTTTGGACCGACAAAATAATATGCTAAATTGATGAGTAAAGAAGAGTATTGAAGATACTTAGTCAATGCACTTAGTTCCAAGTTCCAATAAATGAAGACTGAGAAAATTATTATTAGGTTTTTAGGGGGCATCGGGTCCTCCTCGACTTTAAATTTTACAAAAACAGTATATATCATTACAAAATAACAATGTAAGATTTTCAGATTTATCTGTTTAAAACATGGATTTTCAACAACAAATGTTGTTATTTCTTGCTTAAACCTTCCCCTGAGTCGTGTGAGATACCACAAACAAAAATCTGTTCAAAGTGTTTAATCGAATGAAACAAAATCCAACGTGAAAAAATAATCTTTGGTTTTTAGTGTACATTTATAAAACGGAAAAAAATGCAACAACATGATTTTAATTTGATTTTGAGATCAATGTTTCCAGGAGATGTTTAGTGTTGACGCTGTAAATTGAATAAATTAAATTCTGTAGATTTTGGGACGCGATAAGTTTTTGCATTTGATGAATGACTTGCAAAGAGAATTTAACTGAATTAATTCAGATTCTAAGTAAATCGACTTTTAAACATATCTCATCAGTGATTTAATAAAAATGTGAACTTTCATTTTAATGAAATTACAAAACAAAAACGAGATTTTTTCTCCACAAAAAAAAAACTTTATCAAGAACAATTGTCCATTATCCTACACACATTTAGTTTTCAAGGTTTGGTTGTATATTGGTTTTATAATCATGTTCTTGACGTTAAGAAAGTCCTCCTCTAAATCACAGGCATCCTAAACAAACACCTCTGATCTTTATATTCTTTAACTTGGAGGAATATAACAAGCTGAAAATTATATTTCTTTAGTGTATATTGTTTCAAGTAATTCAGGGGATCAATGTTCTTAACTGTGCTTATGTTCCAAAGCTTACACAAGTGTCAGATTTGGGCAATCGTGGTAATATCAACGGTAAATATTTGAGGAATTTAACAACAACTCTATTATTTTTCTTTTTTAATCAAAAATATGTTATACTAAGAATGTTTTTAAAATTGACAAAATTAAACAAATGTTTCTCTCTTAAACCCTTTAATCTTTATTCTTAATCTAAATATTTCTATTTAAATGATTTTTTTTAAATTTTCTTTTTATATGTAAAAATACTAAAATCCACTGTACATCATTTACTGCTAAGTTGTAAGTTTTACTTTTATATTTGCTTAACAAAACCTTTAAATTGTTTAAGAAGAAACTGAGATATAGAGCTGTAAATGACTGCTGGCATTCTTCGGGTAAGCGCTTAGTTAAAAATCTGTGGGAAAAGAATCTGTTGACCCCGAAAACCTACCTTATCAGCGTCAATAACCACTACAGGGGCAGGGATAGGGAAGGAATGGTTGAGTAACCAATCTTCGTGAAGTCCGTGCAGATCCTGATCAAAAACAACAAATTCAAACTGAAGCTTATCAATATCAATATTTTTTCGTGAGCCATCTGCATCATGAGAATTATGAAAGCAGTACAGTGGTCCTCCTTGATTAAATAGAATACGACGACGCATTTTTATCCAAAAAAATATTAAAATTGAAAGTAGTGAAAATTTAGCAAAGTTAAAAAAACAGAAAAGTTTTTATTTAAAACGTCCAATTTTTTCAGGAGCTTCTAAAAATTCAATAAACTTCGATGTTTAAGTAAAAACAACAAAAACTTCTATCTCTACTCAGCAGTCTGCATACCAACCTTAATATATTGAAGTGGTATTAAATGCTCCTCTCCACGGCTCCTCAACTTTAGCCTCTCGTAAGCCACCTTTAAAAATAGTCATTACAACCAAATAATAAAAACAATTGTCAGACTTACTCACAATAAAACAAAGTTAAAGTAAACCCCTAAGAATTGGTAGATAGTAAAGTCTATCGTTTCTATGCAAACATACGCAACTTCTTGTTACTAGAATAAGTCTTCTCCCCCGGGTCCAAACCTCGTGGATACGTTGTTTCGACGGTTAGGAGCGCCGACCCCCTATTTCATTGAATGATGGGTTGTCCCTTAATAATAATAAAAGTAATAATGGATGCAGAGAAATGAACGGTCCATAATTGAAGGCGTCTGGTTCTGTCCTCGTTAAATTTGTAAGCATTATGTTTCACACGGCAATGCGGGGAAGTGGATTGGAGGGACATTATCTGTCTATTTATTACAATGCTGAAAAAAAGTGCTAACCTAACAGAAGCCTACCCCTCGACCCGGACTCTTTCAAAGTTGGCGATTCAGCTCGTTAGAAGAGCCTTAGTGAAATGGTTTATGCACGCGCGGTTGGCTACATTGGGGGTCAGTCGCCATAACTATTTACTTGTCAGCAGTCAAATAACTTTGGTTTATTTATAACTGTAGTGTATTATATTAGTTTGTTTTCATAACAATATTGAACTCTAGCTGCTACTTGTCAGATACGGTGTTACGTTGTAAATCAAATCAGTGTTCAGTTTAGTTTATACCAAGATGTATTAAACAATCTGCGTTTTTAAAAATAAATTAATAAAATCATTGGAGTAATCAGTAATCATTCCCTGGAAATAAAGCTGCAAGGCGTTCATCAAAAAAAACCGACAAAGGTAAAAAAAAGGACAATTTTATTTTTTTATTTGATAACAATTTGGATTTTTAAAGAAAAGATAAAAAAAAAAAACGATTTAAAATTTATAATTTATTCCGAATATATACTAATCTAATTCCTAAATTCTAAAAAACTAGAAATATAATGAGCAAATTTCTACTATTCACCCTTACGAATTGAAAATTTTGAAAATCACATTGCCAGGCACTAACCTTCGGTGTAGTTCTGAGATAAACAATTAGATCTGCATCAATATTCATTTCAGGAGCAGATATAAGATATTCAAACCAGGCTTTCAGAACCTACAATATTCATTTCAGGAGAAGATATAAGATATTCAAACTAGGCTTTCAGAACCTACAATATTCATTTCAGGAGAAGATATAAAATATTCGAACCAGGCTTTCAGAACCTACAATATTCATTTCATTTCAGGAGAAGATAAATAAGATATTTAAAGCAGGCTTTCAGAACCAGCAATATTCATTTCAGGAAAAGATATAAGATATTAAAACCAGGCTTTCAGAACCTACAATATGCATTTCAGGAGCAAATTAAGATATACAAACCAGGCTTTCAGAGCCTGCAATATTCATTTCAGGAGCAGATTAAGATATACAAACCAGGCGTTCAAAACCCAAGTGTTAAAGTTTAACATGGAATCTCAATCAAAATTGACTCATGATATCAAACTTTTTACTTTTCTAAATAAAATAATAAAAAAATAAAGGAACAACGTGCTTTTTAATTGTTTAAAATTGATCAAATGGAACTTGACCTAGCGTACAATATTTATAACATTTATTTTCAATAGGATTTAAATTCGGGTGGGGATTGATTTTACAGAAAAATGTACACCCCTGAAGTTATCAGAGGAAATAAATATAATCTTAATTTACTTAAAACATTTTTCGGGACTATTAATTTATAATATTAATAATAATATAATACTGATCGTTAATTGATAAAGTTAAACAATTAATTTATTCATCATTAATTTATTTATTAATCATTAAAGTTTATTAACCATTAGTTTATTAATGGTCAGTAAACAGATCATTAATTGATTTTCTACCTCGTATTCAGAACTCTGCATTTTTCCTGTTCTCTTCAGATTTTCCACAAAGCAGTATCTGGCGCTATAGATAGATCTTTCCATAATCTTTATAGGATACAGGGATACAGCATGGTTTTCTAGATATAGGATAAAGGGATACAGCATGGTATTCTAAATATAGGATACAGGGATACAGCATGGTTTTCTAAATATAAGATACAGGGATACAGCATGGTTTTCTAAATATAGGATACAGGGATACAGCATGGTATTCTAAATATCGTATACAGGGATACAGCATGGTATTCTAAATATAGGATACAGGGATACAGCATGGTTTTCTAGATATAGGATACAGTGATACAGCATGGTATTCTAGATATAGGATACAGGGATACAGTATGGTATTCTAAATACAGGATACAGGGATACAGCATGGCTTTCTAAATACAGGATACAGGGATACAGCATGGTTTTCTAATCATAGAATACAGAGATACAGCATGGTTTTCTAAATATAGGATACAGGGATACAGCATGGTTTACCTAGCATTGTTAGCTGGACATAGGTTTGAAATGCAAGTGACCAGCGGCATGGATCCTGAAATATTATTTGTCCATAAAAAAACACATTTTTGATAACTTTTTTCATTTCAGTGATCTATTTTTTCTTTTTCTTCTTTATTTTCGTGCACGAATTAATTTAAGGGTTATGTCTTATGAAAATATAAAAACCAAGAAGAAATCAAAAGTTATGAATCTGTATGAATGTGAAATCCTAAAGAAAGGGCGGTATATGTACCAGGTACCTGTAAAAGATTACATGTACCTGGTACATCAACTGTAGAAGGTTATGTGTACCTGGTACATCAACAGTAGAAGGTTATATGTACCTGGTACATCAACTGTAAAAGGTTATATGTACCTAGTTCAACTGTAGAAGGTTATATGTACCTATTTCAACTGTAGAAGGTTATATGTACCTGGTACATCAACTGTAGAAGGTTATATGTACCTGGTACATCAACTGTAGAAGGTTATATGTACCTGGTACATCAACTGTAGAAGGTTACATGTACCTAGTACATCAACTGTAGGAGGTTACATGTACCTGGTACATCAACTATAGAAGATTATTTGTACCTGGTACATCAACTGTAGAAGATTATTCCCGTTTACATTCCTCCATTTATCCACAGGTTCCTTAAAGGGACAGTAGATGTAATTTAACAAATTTGTAATTTTTGGGAGAGGAAAAATATTTGCGAAAACTGGCACAATATGCAATATGCATTGGTTCAAGCTTCAGTGCAATATTTTAATATTGGCGTGGGTGATTATGCAACGAATTGAGGATGGACATTGACTTACGTATTCAAAAATTCAAGTTGTTTTCTTTCTTAAAAGTGCTCTAAAAGAATCTTAAAGGTACACTTAAAGCAAAATCCGATTTTCGTTGAGTAATTTTAATTTTCCAATAAGATTTACAAAAACGATTTGACTAATGGTTTTGTTTATATCTTTGGTCAGAGAAAAAAATTGAACAAAATCTAGAATTTTTAGATAAAATAAATTTCTTTATCTTCCGTTGAACCTTATTTTATTCTCGGAAAACGTTATTTGTTTAAAAAACTGACCTGAGAACTATGCAAATTCTACCTGAAGTATTTGAAGATGAGGAATGTTATTAAACCGGTTTATAAATTGTGTTTTTCCTGCGCCAATATTTCCCTCCACTGCAAACAAACAACAATTTATTCTTTAACTTCAAACTTAACTCGGTTTGCCATAATCGTCGTTTTCACAAATATTCGAATTAGATAGGACGTGCTAAAACTGAAACTCCTCAATGTACCAAAATTTCTGTTTATTTCTGATTCGGAAATATATTTTAAATCTGCACCAAAGAAGTAATTCTGGTCCAGATTTACAGTAAAAAAATGTATATGAAAAACAATGGTTTAAGAATTCCTTAAATTGTGCAACTACGACCAATTTCTTTCCAAAATGAAAGTTTAAATTAGTTTAATTCTTGTTATTCTAAAAATAAAAAATACTTTGGATATAGTTTACGAGTTCGTCCGTGATTTTTGTAAACTTACGTGATAACATAGTTGGGAGGGAGGTTGAGGGAATTTAACTACGCTCTGGATGTTTGTTAGAAAAAATTGATCTTGGGTTAGGTCAAATTTTTAATTTTCCGAAATTGAAAAGTAGTTCTACACATTTTAATCGTCTTTAGAAAATAACATATGCGATTTTATTCACGACCAATTCGCAGAGCGCAATTTTAAATTACTTAATAGTCCCAAGGGACGATAAAGTAAGTTAACCTCCCTCTGTTGGGGTTATCACGGGTCGGTAATGTTGGTAGAAAGGCGGTAAAATATTTGTTTTCCTAAAACAGTGAGAGGTCTGGCCATTCTCTGAAGGCTATTCATCAAGGAATAATAAGATCTGAAAATAACGAAGTTGTTGAATTTTATATTATTTAACTATTTAGAACACCATTACTTTGTTTTTCGGTGAAGTTATTAAACAGAATTTTTTATTTCTCGAGAGAGGGTTCAAACCTGTCAAGATAAAAAAATGAGAATTTTTTTTTAATATATTTTTTTCGAATTTTTTTTAGCCTGTAACACCCCCGGCCACCCATGAGTGTCCACAACAAATTTCAGCCCAATCGGTCAAGCCGTTTGACCGGCTTTACGCAACATATATATATATATACGAATGTCTTGTTTTATTATACAGAAGATTTGAAGTACCAATTGTGTTAAAGACAGGAATTTAACTGAAATCTTTGGATTCAGTTTACCATAAATCCTCCTCATATGTTATGATTGACCCAGTAATACTATAGGTTTGAAACTGTTCTGAAGACCTGATATCACAGGAGGACTAATACTGATGTGAAATTGTTGAAAAATCGAGGACAGAATCAGTTCAGAAATAAAAAAGGGAATTTTCATCGAATACTTATTCACCTGTCGAAGCACCAACAAATAATTCCTTTTTATCTGAAATATTGTAAAATATTAGACAATATATTTCATAAATTTTTATTTTAACATATTCATATTTGTTAAATATTCTTACATACTAATCGAAATAAATTTTGAAAACATATTTGGACTTATTTAAATAAACAATATCGGTAAAAAAAAATCCGTTTGTAAGATTTAAGGGATGTTAAGTTAATGTTGCAAAAAATTTAGTTACGAAAGGTTACATTGATTAAGGTCTGCTGAAAGTTATTATAATTTACATACATTATGCATTATTTTAAAAACTCTTTCACTATACAAAGTTTGCCCAGCGAAAGTTTAGGCATAATTGTAAGATAAACATTCAATTATAGACATGATCAAAATAGACAAAATAAATTTAACCTATTTTAACACAACAAGCATTAAGCAAAAACATTTTTTTTGTTTTCAATGAGGTAGTTGTTTACATTAAGCAATTTATGCTTCAGAATTGCACAATTTTAGGTAAAAAATAAGTGTTTATACAAGTTCTTTAATTAATACTAAGATATATAATAAATTTTGTTCTAGTTTTATTTTTTGGTAAAATAAAATAAATAAATATATGTAATTTTGAGGGTTGTAAATAAATTTAATGGAAGAGCAGCGTTATTACAAAACCGGTGTCTGATTTCAATGAATAAGTATTTATCGTCAATAATTTCTAGTCAACATCTTCGTCATTTTCGTGGATTTTCCGATATTAAATCGTGGATTTTCTGGTAGTATTTCGTGGATTAATCCTCTTCTAGATACAGCTCGCCAGCCTCTTGGGCATCCTCGTCGTTAGCCTGGAACTCCATAGGGTCCATGAAGTCTACACCAGGGTAGTCGGGGACAGGGAGCATAGGGGGTAGATGATCAGGAGTCGGGGTAGTATTGATGAAAGTACCTGCATCAGGAATATTTGTAGAAACATTTCAATGTATTTCATAAATATCATACAGCAAAATATTAAGGTTTGCCGTTTTAGCTTGTCTGTCTGTCGGTCTGTTTTGAATATTTTTGGCCAAAAAAAAGAAAAGCGAAGAATTGATATTATCAATAGAAAGGAAGTGCGAAGTGCCCTTAGTGTATGCACATTGCACAATGCATATAAATGCCGGAAAATGATGATGTTTGCAGATACTGAGAAGAGTTTTTTTGGCAAAAATTTGTGTCACGTTTCCAATACTATTGATCTTCCGGTCGTAAATATAAACATTATCAAGATTTCATCCATTACAGCTGATTTCAAACAAATTCCAACAAGGTTAAAAATAAAAAATTAAACGTTTTTTCAAGGGTTGCTCTCAATCTCCACATTACAGACGTCTAGGAAGATTTAAAAATATGGCGTGTGTAATCAGATCAAAATATATTCAACTGTTAACAATAAATCTTAGAAAGAAAGTAGATGTTAATCTGTGTATCTGTGTATCGTAATACTGATATGATTTGTATTTTTGATTGTTTTACAGTATCACAAGTAAGCAACGTATTACTAATCTTTACTTCCAGATATGAATGGTTGGCTGTGAGTTTTTGTTTACCCTGTGAAATCAAAACATGTTTTATATTACAGACACAGAATGGGACTAAAGCACACAAGAGATCAATAAACAGTTTTATCACTAGAATTATGACTTTTCAAATATTGTTAAAAATATAACACAGAATATACACAAAGGATGATCTGAAGGTTTAGTTTGGTCCAAGGGCTGTAATATAGTTTTAGATAGGTGTGCTGAATCTGCTTGATTTGGCAAAGAAAACAAAAAATTTAAAGATACAGGAAACCATCAATTAAAGAAAAAAGACTGAGTTAAATCTGTACAGTGGTATCTGAAATCTCATCCTTAGCGGGTAACTTAGAATTTCGAAAATAGCAATATTTTTAGGATTACTTACAGTCGAGAGATATGTTGAGAACACGATGAAAAAGTCCTTTTCCCATATCAATGCCTGAAACAAACAAAAAATTAATTTTTCAAGACACCAGATATTTAAATAAAAATAAACATTGATAAACAAAAAATATCAAACTGACTTTAGTAGATTTTCATCGGAAAAAAGTTCAAATGAGAAGAAAACTGGATTTAGAAATTAAATTGGAAGATAAGCTTGGCAACTTGCTTTGTGCATGAATGAACAATATTTTAAACATCCAGGGGGACCGGAGGGGGAGAGAGAGAGAAAGGGACTTTACAGGTTTGAAATTACCTGGACCAACTAGCAGATCTACTTCTGTCAGTCGAACTATCTGCAGTTTATCGCAAGCTAAATATTTATTAACGTATAAGTTGAAATCCGCTACAACTCTTTCCAAAATATTCTTTGAACAGATAAAACTAGCAAGCAGTGCTCACTACTCAGAATCATAAACATATGCAAATCCTATGATCCGGGATCAAAGTGCGGAAATGTCAACCGGAATCTTTATTTGGTCAATTTGGTCAATTCAGCAACTTTCTTATACATATAAAACTACACGCAAATATTTTTTCCTACCGTTAATTTCTTTTAGATTTTCAGTGCTCTGCTTTCATTGTGCTTATTTTACATTACAGAATATTAGTTCAGAAAATTGAAAAGTTTTTTGTTTTACCAGTTAGATCAAATCAAATATTTACTACTTGAAGAATTAATTATTAAACAATATAAATATCACAAAATACTATAAATCCTCATGAGAGCAAAATAATCTGAGGCCGAATTTAAAGAATTTGAGCGGCGGCTTAAATTTAAGCCACGGCTTAAATATGATTGGTTCCACTTAAAATTGTATCAATGTTTCAAGATTTAAGCCGGCGCTTAATTTAAACCGGGTTTGGCGGATTTACGCCGCGGCTCAAATCTATATATAAATTTGGCTTGTCTGTTTGTTTGTTTGTCTGTCTGTCTGTCTGTTTGTATCCAATAAACGTTAAAACGGCTGAACCGATCGGGCCCAAATTTTTTGTGGGACATCTAGGGACCCCAGGGAAGGTTTATGAAAAATCAAAATTTCAAATATTTGTTTCCATCAAAATTCGATCGTCATTAAATTTTTAAAGATTTTGAAAATCCGCGAAATTTTTTGTGAAAATCCGCGAATTATTTTTGTTTTGTTTTACGATGTACACAAAGAGAACATGTTCACAACTAATTTAGAAGATGGGCGTGAAGCGCCCTCTAAGGGTAGTTCTTTAAATTCGGCCTCTGGTGGGTTTTATCAATTTCCCTGTAAACATGATGATGATAAATGGGTCTAAACTTACATTTTTCGATAAGCAGCAGCGCACTGAGATCAAGTTTGCAGTATTCAAGGAGAAGTGAAGACAGACTGACACAATCATTAATTAATATTTAGAACTAATTAAAATTTCTCAGGTTAATAATTAACATCAAGATTATTGATTTTTATCTATTCTTTGCACATAACGCTGCAGACAGTATTAGTTTTTCACGGTTTTACCACTTTCTCGCATTTTACTTACTATTTGAATATTAATTAGTTTTAAAATGGTTTTAGTACTTTCTGGCATTTTTCTTCCTATTTGAATATTTATCAATTATTGATAATTATCTCCTGAACAATGTTGATTCTAAACCTTTGCATTATATAGTGTCCCAATAAAAATGGGAATTAAGTGACGATTTGATACCGTCTTTGTAAATGATTTTTTTGATCTAGTGTGGAGAATGGATATGCCAATATAGGAAAGCTGTAATCTATAGCTATAATTAAGAATTTGTTTGTTTATAATTTAATTGCTATTTACTGTTGCAGAAATGTTACAGAACATTGCAATTAGGCATTACAAAGCCAAATCTTTACAAAGACGATTTTTAAATCATAAATCATCATGGAGGTTCAAATTCTTGACTCCGGAATAATTTCTGTATTTTTTACTTTTTTGAATTTTACAATAATAAATGTATGAAATGTTGCCTAGTGCATGTTTCCGCCAGATTTTTGATAAACTGTTCAGGAATAATAGTTTTCTCCTTATCAACCTCATGTACACCAACCAGAGCAAAGTGCTCCAGCACACTGTACTGCCGTATCTGAAATATAATAATAGTTTTCCTCCTTATCAACCGCATGTACACCAACCAGAGCAAAGTGCTCCAGCACACTGTACTGCCGTATCTGAAATATAATAATAGTTTTCTCCATATCAACCTCATGTACACCAACCAGAGCAAAGTGGTTCTTTATAAAACATTTTTATCAGCCAGTCATTTTATCAATTAATAACTTAGGAGACTAGCATTGTCTGCAAACTAAACTTTCTCTATAAAAGTCAACCACCTCAATTTAGACCTTTAAAACCAAGCTAAGAACATTCCCGTGGTACTACCAAGTTCCAAATCAAAATTTGAGGCACATCGGTCAAGGGGTTCATCAGTTATGATCAAACATACAAACAAACAGAGATAATTACTCTAAATATTATATAAAGGTAATTTTAATTAAGATCAATCCTTTGATATATGTAGAACAGCGCTACAGCTCATACAAGGTCCAAAATTAGAAAGCATTTTTGTATCAGATTAAGTAAACGGTGGCCGAATTTATTGAATCTGAGCGGCGGTTTAAATTTAAGCCGCGGCTTAAATATGGTTGGTTCCACTTTAAATTGTATCAAATGTTTCAAGATGTAAGCCGGCGCTAAATTTAAACCGGGTTTTGGCGGATTTAAACCGCGGCTCAAATTCTTTAAATTCCATCTCCGGTCTATTAAAAGAACCAACCTTCTTCAAGCAAATTCTCTGGTTCTCTATCAGACTGGGAACTTTAAGAATAAGCTTCTTGTTCCAGAACAACGGGCAGGCATCAAGAAATTCTAATATAATATAATAACAGATAAATCAAAAAAAACTTTTATACATAAATTTTACAGATTGTGAACAAACAAGTATCATTTTAATATTTTTTTTTTTTGCCTCTTTCTTAATTTGAATTTAAATGTTGAAGGTCTGTTTACAGAAAACCAAAAGATTAAATAACAAGATAACCTCTGAACATGTTGCAAACATTACGTACACAAGGGTAATCTTCATACGCAACCCTAGTTGTTAAAATTCTTACAAAACTGCAATATCTCAGAGATCAAAAACAATTTGCAAAATTTAAAACTTAATTTTGTAATTCTTATATAATCTTTAGGATCCCATGAAAAAAATCTAAAAATCTGCAAAGAATCGTAAGAAAATATCTTAAAAAATTAACTTTATATGTTGCAGCCATTATCCATTTTATTCTGAATTAAGGGGAAAAGATGTTTTTATCATACAATAAGTAGAAAAATATAAATATTCTGAGATGGAATTTAAAGAATTTGAGCCGCGGTTTAAATCTACCAAAACCCGGTTTAAATTAAGCGCCGGTTTAAATCTTGAAACATTTGATACAATTTTAAGTGGAACCAACCATAGTTAAGCCTCGGCTTAAATTTAAACCGCCGCTCAAATTCTTTAAATTCGGCCACTGGACGCAAAAGGATTTTTTCAATAATTGGGCATAACTCCCTTCTTCACTTTCCGTCTTAAATAGGATTCAAATTTCCATCAGATTTTTGCCTTGAAATTGGGTGCTTTATCCAATCTATGTTTATTGTTTATCTTAAATCCTTACTTAATGATTTATCTTCGCCTGAGTAGCAATTGGCAATAGTCAAATTCGTTTTACAGAAATTTTTAATTTGTTTATACATTAAATGATTTTACGATTTTATAAGAAGGGTCCAACTTTTTAAAATTGTATTCTGGAGAAGTTTGCTTTTTTCAAACATGGAAATTTGTTACCCCAGGCAAAAACGAAACAAAAACTTTCGTTTTAAAACGGTCGTTTTTTCCGTATCTCTTATTGTCGTAAAACCTGTAAAAAGTCTAAAAACGTTAAAGGTTTCAGTAGAAGTTTTCTGAAATGAAATGACTAATTAATTGAAATTAAACAATGATATTTATTTTGTAAGATTGCCTTGAAACAATATTTCTCCAGATCTCCGGGGGAAGACGGTTTAACCCATTCTCACAATCCTGGATTCACAAAATATTAGAACAAAAATCGGATATCGGGCATGGCCATTATTGCATGGAGGGTCACTTGAAATAACGCTTACAGTCCCTTTAAATGAAAAGTTCCTTTTCTCCTCCAGTGACCATGTAAATGGGCAGTAACAGTGAACACTGAACACCGAAACTACCTTAGAATTAAGAGAGAAAAAATCAAGAAAGCAGTCCCTTAGAACATAAAAACTGTCTGAAATAAAAATTGCAAATCTCCGATAACGCAATCTATTGCAAATACAAACAAATAGTATTGAGTATTGGATGTTCTAAATTTCCTGGAAAAACTCGAGAGTTTCAGTCAATCCATCAGTCGTCTTAGTTGATCCGGCATTTTCGAAAGTGTTCTCAACTCCCTCGATATCCATGTTTTCATTAGTTTTCAAACCCATCCTTTAAAGTCAAGAGTTTTTTTTCTGGCAGACGACGATAGCCGAACAAGCTTAGTACCTAAATAAAAAAATTAATAAGTTCATTAATATGGGAAAATAATTAAATTGAATAGCAGTTACTCATGAATTTTTTGTTCTGTTTTGATCATTAAGTTCAAAAATCTAAAATTGGCACGAATGTTTTGATTTTATCAAAAAAACATGATAACGGAAATATATTTCCTGATTCTAAGGTTAAACCTTCCTTACACATTATCATTTATTCATAGATATAAAGTGCATAGTAGATAATTGCCGTGCAAAATAACGCCTCAAAATGGTAGATAATAGGTTACCAGTTGTATAACAGTTAAATATTTAAGGATTAATAGATTGTAAATTGTACGAACGTGCTGTATAGTCCAGCTCTAGAATTCAAAATCATATGTATATATTTTGTTAAAAAATCGTTATTTTAAAAACCGCCCAATACCATTATTTTTTAGCCCAGAAAGTGTGTCGGGATTTACAAATTATGGAAAATAATTGTCTATCAGAGGTAAATTAAAGTTTGTATTAAAACTAGCAAAAAGACTAGATATTTGTGGTCAATTCTTAGTATTTATTTATTCTTACCTAGGTATCCCTGGACCCCGACCCTAATAATATCCTTGGACTTTCTCAACACAGTTAATCAACCTTTTTTTCAAAATCTGAAATAAAATATAAATTTCTAAATGCTAAAATAAATATTAAACTTGTAAATATAGTTTTTATAAAATGTTGACGATCTGTAGGACGGATTATTACATTTTTGACTTCTTGTTCGTACTCCTAGAACAATATAATTAGCAAAGAAGTTAACTATTCTCAACAGGTTTTTATCCGTTTTAAACTTGTTTTGTTTAAATTATTTTAAATTATTATATTTAAGAGTGGAATGTCCAATTCACAAGGGCACCCTTAAAAGCATTATCGATTCACAATGGTACACTTAAAACCACTGTTTTATCAAATATGAAAAAAGTTTAAATAAAGTTATTTTCGATTTTAGTTTTAACTGTGGTGACTTGCGGATTTCTTGCTACAGAAACAATGGAACTTATGAGAATTGAACAGTTTTCAAGGTAGTAAAACCACGACATCTTCTGCACTATTGATCAGCTAAAGAAATGGAACTTATAAGAATTGATCAGTTTTCAAGGTAGTAAAACGACGACATCTTCTGCACTATTTATCAGCTAAAGATGATAAGTGTATTGTTGTGAATCGGGCAACAACAGTTCCTTCAATGTTTTTTTTCATTTCCATAAAAACAGGTTTAAAGGAATTGTTAATTAATCTTTAATATATTTGTAGATACATAAAATTAAAGGAAGAGTGGCTAATTTCTTAATTTTTAATGTGCTAATTTGTTCCTGATGACTTGTTCCATGAAGTCCCATTGTTCCTCTGACACCATCCTTAGTTTATTAAATTCACCAGCTAGAGACCTGAACTCACCGCCATCCAGTGTTACCGTCTATAAAATATATAATATACAATATACATTATACAATATACATTTTACAATATACATTGTACAATATACATTATACATTATACACAATGTACAATATACATTGTACAATATATACAATGTACAATGTACAATGATCATATAGAACAACAGTGCAGTTTTTTTTTCTTCATCCTTTCTGATACTTCCCCCGCAATTTTAAAATCATCAAATCAAATCAAACTTAAAGAATACCATTAGCCATTAACTAACCTCTGCATTAATCCAGCTGGCAAAGTCACTGCACATGAAGGTTGCCAGGTTGGCAATCTCTTCTATTTCTCCAATCCTTCCCACCGGTATACCATCCAACATCAGTTTAGCACCTTCACCTGAAAAAATACATTTTTTTCAGGTGAAGGTGCCAAACATTTTTTCCCCCACCCTACTCACGGCCAAGCTTTTTGGACTTTTAAAGGTTCTACAAATATCTCAGAAGTTTTACAAATTAAAATTTGATCATTCTTAACTTATGAAAATGTAACATGTAAAAAAACGAGCATTTTATCTTTTTTCTTTTATCTTAGTGTATTGCAAAGGTCAATACAAGGAATCTTAAAAAAATACAGTTGCAAAATTTTGGAAGTAAAATTATAAGATTTAAATTAAGAGATATAAACAATAAATCTCAAATAAAAAGTTCTTGAAGTAGATATTGATCTCAAGTGATCGGGACTTCAAGTATCAAACACTAAAGATACAAGCTTTGTATCAAACAAACAGCAATTTTAATATCAAAAATATTTCAGATTCTTATTGATCCTGTGAGACAAAAACAAAACTGCTTGAAAATAAATTAGACAATGAAGACCAACACATTGAATTCTTCTTAAATATTTTTCCTTTAAAGAAGACATTTCGAAAAATGCTTCAACTCAGAATTGCTTCTGGAAAAATTGGCAGCTTAAGCTTTCCTCCCCTCGAGTATCCTACCTGTTGGGTCCAGCCGGCCAAACGCTCCCTCAGTTTCTATTGGACCAGGAGCAATACAGTTAAATCTAATCCCGTACCTGAAAACAGATAAAGTCTTTAAAGAAATTCAATAAATCAAAGCATGGATCATTATATTTTGTCAAACAGTGGTGATGGGGGTCCTCCTTTCCTTTCCTTTTCCCTCTACTTATCACCATACTAATCACCCTACTATTCCACTCACATTTTTTCCTCCTTCTTCATCCTTATTTTCTAAAATTACTGTTTGCTTATTAGTATTACAATTAGATATTTGTTAATTTCTAAAAATAAAATTCATGTTCAAAACTGAAGTTAATTTCTACCCCACTCCCCCCTTGAAAATCCCTTTTTCCAAGAGAAGGTATGTACAATTTGATATGGGTTCTTCGCTGAATTGTGGGAAATAAACGAATGGGGGGGGGGGGAGGATATCAAAAAGGACGAACAAAAACTTGCCTTTAGAAATCTAATTTCTTCACCTTACCCCAATCCATTAAAATTGTAGGCGGGGTGGGAGGGGGGGGGAGTATTATTAATACTATACGCCCCTGATTTCTTTATTAAAGCCTACCTTCCCCATTCAACTCCCAGGGATTTACACATTGTTTCAACTCCTAGAAGAACAAGAAATAGTTAGAACACAGTGAATTAAATACAAATTCGTAAATATTATATTGGTTTCTCTGCACTAATCTGATCAATGTTTAATGTTCATATAGATATAATTTTTACTATTTTGTAATACTATGACATATCTTTTTACGAGGTATATGTACGAGATATTGATAAATGAGGTTTTATGTGCGAGGGACGACGTATTCTTGTACGAGGTTTTTATTTACGAGGTTTATATGTACGACGTACGTATTTACGACGAGCGTCACGCTTTTTATGTGTTTTCATTTTTGCGTCTACAATGTGCCTACACGTAATCTATGAGATCCATGTTTTCTAGCGCTGTTGTATTAGACAATTTTGAACAAGAAAAATTATCAACAAAAATTATGTGTTAAATGTTGATTTACCTGATTTGGCACAAGCAGATGGAACCACAAACCCAGAACCTTCGTTTGTGTAATGAGTAGTTATTGCCAAGAAAACACCACCTAAAACAAAAATTAATGAAATTTTGTTAAATTGTTTAAAAAAACTTGACGAAGCCTGCGTTGACTAAATATCTTTGGGTCAAGGGCGTATACAGAAATAAATGTAAGGGGGGGCAAGATTTGCGCGAAGCGCAAAAAACAAAGGAGGTAGTGAACATATAACAAAACATATGAACCCAATCATTTCACCTGTTTTCTGTGCAATCATTCTTTTTCCAACATCCAGTGTTAGGAACGCTGTTCCTTTTAGTACAATATCAATAATTGTCTGGAACGCATTGGCGGACAAACGTTCTGTTGGAGAAATAAAATTCCCCGCGGCGTTATGGATGACGACATTTGGGAGGCCGAGCTCCGACTCAATTTTATCCACGGCAGCTTTTACAGCAAGAGGATCTCTGATATCCAACTAAAATATAAAATGATCAATTAAGTGAAAGCATTGAAGACAAAAACCCTCGCCCGGCCCTAATTTCAAGATAAAAAATAACCACAATCCCTTTAATCTGACCTGGACAGGAAGTACAATATTTCCGGTTTGTGCTGATATCTCTTTAGCTGCTGATTCTAGGACCGGAAGTCGGCGGGATGCAATCGCAACCTAATTAACTGTAAAGTTTAACACTATCTCTCCACTGCGTTTTTAGCCAATCTATGACAAATTGTTCCTAGTTTAACTTCTGTTTGTTATTCATTATTTACGACTTCAGGTTAGATAAAATATTCCTAAAACGCATAAAATGGCATGTGCAGAGTAAAAATACACAAAACAGATATCTAAGAATATGTTCAATGAACAAAGGAAATGGTTCTTATAGAATGTGTAAGTATAGCTCAGAGGGTGCTGGCAAGCTAAGTTAATGGTCCCGGAGCAAAATAAAATCCTTACCTTGGCACCGAGTTGGGAAAATTTAAGCGTCATTCCTTTCCCTAATCCTGTTCCTCCTCCTGTTACCAACACAACCTTGAGTCAACATCAATATCCACCCGTCCGACATTAAGAGATTTTTACGTAGTTCAAATATTTTCAACCAGGAAAGAAATTACAGAAAATGATTTTTGAAAATAAAAAATACCCATCCTTAAAGAATTACTTTCGTTTTGAAGGCACAGTCAAAATGTCCTTTTTTCTGTTTCGTGTGTTATCAGAATCTATAAATATAAATGGCCTGGTTTATATGTTTTCCTTGTCTTTATATGTCTCTGGTGGCAGCATAGTATCTTTCCGGGCGGGGAAAAACTTAGCCTATTAAAAAATAATCATAAAATATTAAAATTCTAAATATCTCCCCCATCTTATCCTTGTCTCCCCCCTCCTAGCAATAGAATCTGCCTAGAACTTAAGATGGACTGATTCATTTGATATACTGTCTTATACAGTCTGCATAATCTTTATGTACTGTACAGCTAACTCAAGCTGGTTTAGAGTCGGCCCGGTACAGATTTCATAGTGCTAGGCCCCTTCTCATCTTTTTACCTGTGGTTTAGGTGAGTATGCATCACTAGCCAGTACTGCACACGAACTTGTAAATCCACGAAGTCCTAATCAATTTTAATTCACAAATTTAACCGACAATCATCCGTTCTTTTAGGTTGGTAATAAATAAAAAGAGAGAGCAGGAGTTGAATCAGGTCCGACTAGTTCAATTACTGTTTAAGTTGAGCTGGATATTTTTAAAAGGTAGTTTAAGCTTTTCGTTTAAAATCAATAATATTGTTGACAAAAACACTTTATAAAATTACATCCATGAAATTGATCGTTTCAAGTTTTAAAAAGTTTAACAATTCCTTCAACTTTCAAGTGGTTTACGTTAGTAAAAGATTCAGCAAAAAATCTTTGGGATTACTGATTCACCAAAAAGTCTTTGGGATTACTATCTTTGCACAAAATTTAAAAAATCTAAGAACCTACCCATATGTTCAGCTGATCTAGCGTGACTAACGACAGATCTTAACGCCGCCATTTTGTTTTCTGAAAAGACAAAGTGCTCGGCTTCGATCTCCTGAATTCGATCTTCAAAATACAAAAACTAAAAAAGATGAAAATCTAAATATCAGAGATAAAATAAGCGGGAAAAAATCTTCTAAAAAAATGAATTCTAAAGATGAAATGTAAAGGGGAAAAGTTTTAAGTCATAAAATTCAAATTAATAATTCGCAACCTTTGTGAACCTATTTGTCAGCGAAGAAGGTCGGTGATAAAAGAGGGATAGTAGAGGTGGCGACAGAACACATTTTATGGGAGTGGGGGGGGGGGGGCTCAATATTCAAGCACTTGAGTTCAAACTAAATCCTATCTTCGGTCTGGCGTCTCCTTTCCCCAAGATTAGCATTTGTTCTTTCTTCTGCTTCTTCTCTTCCTTCTTCTTCATCTTCTGCTTCTCCTGTTCTATCTTCATCTGATCTTCTACCATCTTTAATCTCTCCTCAGCCTAACAAATAGTTCGTTTAATCTCGTATATTTTTTCAGCTTAAAAAATAGTTAATTACATCTCACATATATTTATTTATCAAGTATCATATTCAATAACGAACCATAAATATATCTTCAATTAAAAATAATAAGCAGTCAACCATCATTCCAATGTCAAGGCGAAGCCATTATTTTAAATACCCACCAACTAGATTAAAACTATATGATTTTTACACAAATTAAAAATAAATAAAAATAACATAGGACATTAAAAAATCACTGGTAAAGGTAAAAATGATTAGTTGGAAAACATACTGACTTGAGATTAATTGAAAACACGGCTTTATTATCCAGGTTCAAATCAATTTTAAATATTTCTATGAACAAATTTAACTCACCATTTTTTTCTGCTGTTCCTCAATCTTTCTCTGGTTCTCCTCCATTATCCTTTCGAGGTCGGACCTGCGAGCCGCCTCCTCCTCCTGAATAGATATAGAGGTCAAGCCTGGAAACCTCAGACCTCTTTAAACAGCCGTCCTTAAATCCATCTCTATACATCCAAATTCAGTGAAAGATTAAAACCTTCCCGAATGTACAGTGTACAGTAAAGTGTACACCTTGTAAGATGTTAGTTAGTTTTCAGAAATGAATATGTGGAATAGTAGATTTAAATGGATTGAGAGTGGAAGAAAGGACTCTGGAAGAGCTCTGGTAATAATCCTCAAGACGGTATACCAGCGCAAGTATTCTGATATTTCCTCTGGTTAAATTCATACCAGCGCCACTATATCGTCTGGTAGTGATACCTCTGTTTGAAGCTGAGTTTCTATATGCTCGATCTGGATTCTGGTCTCAGGATGGACTTTTTCAGATAAAATAAATAAATAATATTATAAACACTGAACGGTAAGTGTCGTACGTCCAAACAATCGACAGATACACCCCCCCCCCTCCCCCTCCTAATCTGCGGTAGAATAAGACTACCCCTCGTACTGAACTAGATAATAAGCCCAAGACTCGGTTTCTCAAAATTATTCCTTATCTCTTAACAAATATAAGATAAACAATATTAAAGGAATAATTCGCGATTTTTAAATTAAAAACCAAAAAGAGGGGTTAATGGACAATTTTATACGGCTTTTTTCGATCGGCTATGCGAATAATTCGTTAGAAAGTGACCCTTTTTTTGGCAGCGTACACTTTAAATCCAAATACATAAGGTTTAATCTGCCCCCTCCCCCTCATAAGAATAATAACATTTTAAGCAAAAATTCTCGACGTGAATTTTTTATCCCCGTTCCGATTAAGTCCCGTTAAACTGAAAAAATGCTCGTTTTGAAGATCCAAAATGTTGCGGATGCGCTCCAAAACAGAAGTCAGCAGTCACCGGAAGTAGCTAAATATTCCTACCTCACGTCTTGCAGCTTCCCTTAACTGTTGCTCTTTTCTGTTCTGCAGCTCCTGCATCATCTGCTCTTCCATGATAGTTTTAGCTTCCTCTACTCTACGAAGCACCTGGAGATAAAATATGATTTATTTTTGCCAGATAAATTCAGATATTTACCTCCCGAGATATCCACTCCAGTACCCAATTCATCAACAAAACCAGAACCCCTTCTTATAAATATATATTTGAAGTTACCAACTATCCCCCCCTCACAATTAAATTTTTTAAATTGAATAATTCCTGTAAAAACAAAATTCACAAGCCCCTCCCCCCCCCCGTCCTAATTTGCGGCACAGTGCAAATTCGTCAAATACGCAAAACGCGTTAAATGTCAAGGTTACATTTCTTAAAGGAACCTTATTTGGGTAATTTGAGAGTAAACTAAATTGCCTATTAGGTATTTATTGGTATTGGTCATACTTTTCAAAGACAACTGTGGCCTGAGAAAAAGCCGATTTTTCATTAAGAATTCCAGGTATGATACCTTTGCATTTACACTAGTTGATGCTTTTTGTCATTGTCATGGATTTAAAAAAATTCAAATATTAAATTAAATTGTAGTATCGAATAGTTAATTGTAAATAACTATAATTTTTTTTTAACTTATTTTATTTTTTTTTAATGTAACTTATTTCAAACATTTGACGGTTATAAGTTTTCTCTACTTCCCCAGAAATCCCAGCGATTTATTGAAGAGTTTGTCTGGGTGAGAAAGTCGTGTTTATTTGTTAACTCATGTTTGAACACAAAAATGTTAATTTTTGCTAATTCTAACATCAAAGTTTTTATTTTATATTATATAATCGCTGACACATGATGTCCTTAAATATTATAATTTTATAATGATTTTATTGGGCTGTTGATACAGAAAAAAATAACGTTTAAATAGTGACTTTGCAAAGGTATCATACCTTTCCGCTGGAATTCTTAACGATAAATCGGCTTTTTCTCCAGTCATAAATATCATTGAAAAGTAAGACTTAATCAATGAATAGCTAATAGGCTAATTAGTTTACGATGAAATTACCCAAATTTGTGAACGGGCCCTTTAACCCTTGAGTTTTCTTTCTGTTAACACCAAATATCATTTAAATTTTACAATTGTCAATTATACATCACTCCCCAATAAAGAAAACTTTTCCGCATTATTAGAAACAAGCTCAAGTGCCCAGCGTTGCCCGTGGAACTTTTTTTAAGTAAAAAAAATTTTGATTTAAAAAAAAACGGTGCAACCATGGATTTCCTTTACAAATTCCAGCCCATTTGGGCCAGCCGTTTGGCCAGCTATAGCTAACATATATACAAATATATCTGTGCGAAGAGCTTTATTATATAGAAGTTAATGAAATTGTTTTTAACATTTATTTGCACACAAATTCGCGCGATCTCTCTCTCTATTGACATTAGTTTACCTTGCCAGAACTCCTCGATGTGGAATCCCACTGTAATAGGGTGTTTCATAAAACAGTTTACTAGGGTATTTTATTGAACAGTGTTTAATCAAAACCCCCCTGTTATAGATACAAAAAAAAATATTAATATTGAAAAAAAATTTCATAACACAAAAAAAGAGAAAGAAGTGGCAAACATTTGGTTAAAGTAATCATAATCTGCTTTTGATTATTATTTCATGCTGAAACTCAAATAAATGGTTTATAGGACTGGCCAGCTTTATTTATACTACTCAACTTAACCTAAAAATCAATCATTCTACTTATCAACGAATTAGCATAAATATCTACTAGTTATCTACTGCTTAATCAACCTCTCTTTTTATATCTATATATTTAATTACCTTACTATTAATGACAATTTAACCCCGACGGGATAGAGTTATATTTTCCAATCAATAACTCACTTATTTATCTACCTATCCATCTATCACTTCACAATTGTTATATATCCAACTATAACCACTTTTATCTATCTTTCTATACTTCACTCCTTCAATTCATTACAGTATCTATTTTGTATCTCATTATAAAGTCCTTTCTCAATCAATCAATCAATCAATCAACCAAAAATTCAATCAATCAATATAGCTATCTATCCCATTATGGCCTATGGTATTGTAAACTACCTCTGCTTCTATCTCATCTCTTCTCCTCTCCAGTTCCTCCTCAACTCGTTTAGCAACTTGTTCTTCAATTCTCCTGATATTAAAATTATATCAAAAATTAAATCATAATTATAATAATGATAATGACGATAATAAAGACGATGAAAATGATGATAATTATGATAATAATAGTAAAAATAATAATGATAATGATATTTATAATCAAAAGAAAAATTATGATGAAAACAACTAATTACGATAATTATAGTTATGACGCTGAGCATGAGGACTTAAAAGATTCATCAGTCTACAATATCCCTACTAACCGGAAAACCTATAAATACGTATGACATTCCTATGACATGTGCATTTTCGTAACCATTTCCTTTGTAAAAATACGTATTTTATATCCGAAAAAATACGTAGTTGACAAATGTAAAAATGCGTATGTTAAAAAAATCTGAAAGATCCAATGAATCAGGATTTTTTTAGGTTTTGTATGTAGATTTAGGTTTGAAAAATCGTAACATTTCTTTATTTTCGGAATTTATAGCTTTTACAAATACGAAAAATACGTATTTTTAAGGCATATTCATGTTAAGAACTTAAGAAGTTTGGACTACAATATTGCGTGCGCATTGTTCCTTTATTTCTATAAGGAACATAAGGAAATGGAATCAGTGTGAGGCCCAAATGTGGACCCCCCAGACACCCACCAGGTGTGTGAAGCAACGTCCAAATATCAGTTCCACAGCCGGACCTTTAATCCCGCCAAGCTTTAAACCCAGGGGGGATCAAGGAGATACTTCCTGTGGCTGGCAAACCTATTACAACTAATTCCGCACATTTCTTATTCATACTATTCATATTCATAGATTTCAATTATTTTCAATCCAATCCAAATCTAATATACTATATAAAGAAATTCACACCATCATCATTCCTTCATCTGTATCCATCTAAACCAACATTCAGATATGCATTTTGTCGGTATTTTCAACAAATACGTATTCAATATCTGTTATACTTCATACACTTACCATTATATCTGTTACAAGACTGCGAAAGTAGAACTTCAATATATCAAAAAATGAGAATTTACTGACATTTACTCTAATGAAAATGATATAATTTTGAAATATTGTATTCACCAAAATGTTTGCATTAAATTTCTTACAGAAAAATTCTCTAAAAAAGATCATAAAATATTTTCAAATTCTAACTTAAAAATGCATTTTTGTGTAGTTGAGGTTTCATGAAAATATTGACATTTGCATTTTTCGGTTTGCAACAGGCTTGTAAACTCTAAAAAAGTACAATTTTATAAGAAAAGAAAAAACGAAAAAATATGAAAAATACGTAAAATAAAACCTGAAAACATAAAAAAAATTACATGGTAAAAAGTATACGCAATTATTCGTATAAATACGTTTCTGGAAATTCACCTAAAAAACACTTGGGGTGATCAATACGTAAAAATACGTAAATATACACAAGTTCTCTACTAAAAAGTTAAGCATACGAATTTTTACTTAAAAATATACTTAAAAATACGTAAACCTATGTAGAGGCTTCTTTGTTTTAAGTTTTCGGGTTAATCGGATAAGTGATAAATGATTTTCGAATAAGATGAGGATAACAAATTCAAGCTAAAAATATTCCTACTTGTTAGTTTCTTCTTCAATCTTCTTCTCCTCCATCAACTTTTTCCGTTCTTGCTCCGCCAACCTTTCAACCTCCTTCCGCCCCCGCCGTTCAGACCCAGAGGAATCAGAACTGCTAGAGTGACGGCGGCGTCGATACCGGTCATGACGCCGCCGACGGTCTCTAGACCGGCTACGGGTTCGGCGGGAGCGCTTGGATCGTTTCCGGTTGTCGTCCGAGCTACTGGTAGACCTGTCACGTCCCATTTTTCTGAAATTTCAATAATTCCAAAATTGACACAAGAAAAAAATATAATAAAATTATCACAATTAATTTTTGAATGAACATTTTATTCATCTTCGGAGGGTTTCTGGAAATTTGCTTTCTTCGCAAGATTCTGTTCTGTTTCTTTTCGCACCTAAAAACATAACATCATAAGTGGATTTAAATAACATAAGGAACATAAGGAAATGGAATCTGTAAGAGATCCTAATGTGAACCCCCAGACCACCGCCAGATGTTTGAAGCACCACCCCACACCCGTTCAGCCCGTTGTTGTTGTTATATGGATGTGTGTATATGATCGAAAAGTTTATATATTTAAAAAAGGTATCGATATTTTTTCAGAAAAGGGGTTTTTAAGGGGGGGGGGCAAAAAAATTTTTTTCCCCGTTGCCCCCCCCCCCCCTACACAAATGCTCTCGTTCGCCACTATCTGCCTTGCTGTCTCATACATGCGCTGAAGTTTAAACCAGACTTATGGGGTGAGATTGCAATTAAGAAACACTATAAACTGATGTTTCTGATCCAGAACCCCTACCAATACCACCGCCATATATATGAATTGATTTACGTGAACTAGGGTGCAAATTTATATGATGAAATTTAGAACAACGATAATCTAAACATTGATGGTGAATATTTTGTTATTCTAAGTACAAAGAAAGATTGGAATCTGGAATTCTGAACTATTCAAGAAAATTATATCTTTGAATCTGTTTCTTTTTTAACAGGATTGCTGTAGATTGTAGAATGTATGTAGAAAATAGAATAAAATATCATTCTGTGCCTTATACCTGTGCAAGAAATGATGCCGCTTGAGCCATAATTTGTGGATTATTTGACGCATTTGTTCCTTTGCTCCCAACACGTTTTCCTTCCTTGTCACGCTAAATACAAAAAAACTGAATTGTTGATCACAAAAACATGAAAAGTGAACAAAACTGTTGATTGCAGATAGAAACAATAAAACATGAAAAATGAAAAACCATAAACTTTCTGAATTGTTTGAAATATTTAACTATTCAATTGTTTAACAAATTAGACATTTAACTTGTAATATATTTTTTTAATCTCCACGTTTATAACTTCGCAGTTTACAAAATAGAGTGTAGCTTTGAAGTCGAACAAAAATCAATCTTTATCTAGAGCCCAAAGGTGTAAAAGGGGGGTGGGGTGCATCTTCAAAAAAAAATATTTTAACAATAAATCCAAAATGCTTTTAAAAAATCGATTTATTTATTTACAAAATATTCAGATGTTTTATTTTTTGTACACAATTTACTTCAAAAGCCGATTATTTTGCCGCCAGGCGTCTCTACCCTCGACATTACAGGGGCTCTAAATGGAAGACACATAGCGGCCAAAATATCGTCGAGTACATTGTAAATTAAAAGAATAAAAAATATTATGAAATATCAGCTATGAATGCATCAAATTATATTCGACAATTGTAGGTTATAACATCTGAATGATTAGTTTAATTTATTTGAGTTATTTACAATCTGGAATATTGCAACTTCGTGAATTTGTATGAATCCTACGTTCTTCGGAATATGTTGTTCAAATTCTTTTCTCCTTATAGACACAACAGATAGAAGCGATCACCGTCGAATTCGATTCGACGATAGCCTAGACCCTCTTTCATTTTTCGCGAACACTCCCTTTAAGAGGAAAAATTTAATACTCAAAATATTTTTTTGATAGTAACTGACTAAACATCCTTCTTATCCCTTCCCCCCACGGACAGTCTAACCCCTTCTCCCTTTAATAACCTTCTTGTTGAACTTGTTGTTGATGGTTCCGACCAGATTACTGTATCTCTCTGCCATCTCCTGATCTGTTACTTCCAGCTCAACTTGTCTCAGGTTTTCTTCCCGTGTTGTGTCCTAAGATGAAAACTTGTAAGTGTGCGAGAACCTTGACAAGTGGCAGAATAAGTCAAAGTTGAAGATAAACTATATCTGTGTCTAGAGCTGAGGGCTCAGGATAACTCAATGGTTCCCTGAGTGTGAGACTCTTCACGATTTAAGGGACTATAAAAGTAATTTCCGGTGACCCTCCATGCAAAGATGGCAAAGCTCGATTTACAACGATTCTCTTCAAAACTTTGTCTGATCAAGTATGAAATAGATGTTATTTGTTTATTAAAAATGTTTATTTTCATTTGCGGTTTCTCTGAAAAAGTGACTTGCGTGTTTATGAAACAAAGTAAAAATTTACAGAATTAAACACTTTAGAGTCAGACGAACGACGTCAACTTCCACATTCATATTAGATTAATGTTTCAAGGCCAAAGGGTACAGTTGTAAATCTGGCAGGGCTTAAAATTACAATTACTGCCTCTTTAAGGAGTTTATCTAAATTTAAATTTGTTTTTGACTCGATGAAGCTAAGCAATATAACAACAAACTAACCCATTGTAAAATGTTTGTAAAGATTGAGCCCCATAAAATTTAAAGACCTCTTAATGTTAAAAAACAAAATTCCGATGCCTCTAACCTCTAACATGATGGTTTCTATCTCAGGGTTCATTCCCTTGTAGGATACTCGGCCAAACTTGAGATTCTCTATTGGAACATAACTAGACTCCAGAATATATCTAAACATATTGATTTTTGTTTAAAACTTTAAAAAAAAATTTTTTTTAACGCAACGCCGGACCCTACACCTAGTACTTAATATTGATTTTTTTCACAGTTGGGTGGAGATAAAAAAGTAATAAATCTAACAGAAATTTAGCCACCAACAGGAATATGCCCGAAGAGGGGGGGGGGGCTCAACCTTTTTTGGCATCCCCACCCTGGAAATATTCCTGTATATATAATAAATAAAACAGATGGCAAACTGAATGATGATAAATAGTAAAAGTTAGAAATTTGAATATATATATATATTAATAAAAAATATAAGAGTATTTTCAAGTTATTTTAATTTCAAATTGAAAATTAAGAATATATTCTGATATTTACATTACGATTAAACCGTTTTTTGACCTAGCGCTGCGGCTTTGACAGGATTGGGACAAGGCAATTCACGGCCACAAATCTGAATATGAATGCCCAAAATTGATAAAGAGGTGGGGGGACGGGCAGCATAAACATGTCTAAAAGTTGTACAGGGCAGTATAACCTTATATCAAGGAGCTATAGAGCAAACGCTTAACCAGTAAATTATAGAAAAAGTATGCATTTTAGTTTAAACCTATTAACCTGTAATTCTGTCTTTTCTCGAGTTCTTTTCATAAATTTCATGTCCAACAAATGTTTAGACAATTTCTTCTTATTTGTGGTTCTTCGCTCCATATTGGATTATGAGATCTGAAAATTCAGAAATATAATTAGATTATTTGATAAAAAAGGATGAAAAAAAAATATTGAATAAACCAATTGTACGAAAATAAAAGTTAACTGCGACGTAATGGTTCGCGTATTGTTGAGGTTCTTAACGAAACTAATTTATGGCAGAATGCCGCGATCAATTCCAATTTCCAATCCCGCTAATGCCTATTAGATTGAACTACTGCCGTTTGAACTATTGACTTTATGAACTATTGGTCGTTTGAACTATGCACATGGTACCACGTGTAGTAGTTCAAACGACAAATAGTTCAAACAATAACATTCTTTATAGATTTTAACAATTTTTTGCTCATTTGCAGATATGAAAAAAATTTAGTTTGTGCAGAACCGAAAAATATACAGATTCTGAGATTAGCAAACAAATGGTTCATTGAGCAAAAAAAATGGGTCAAATGAGCAAAAAATAGTTTAAATGAGCAACAAAAAAATAGTTAAATTAATGAACCAAATAGCTATTTTTTGCTCATTTGAACTATAATTTTTGATCATTTGAAGTTTGAACTATTTTTTGGTTCACAATTATTAATTTAGCTCATTTTGAACCATTTTTCTTATTTGAAAGCTATGTTTTGGTTAAAATTTGAACTTATTGTTTTGCTCATTTGAACTATTAAATGCAGCTTCATTTGAACTATTGTTTTGGTCATTTGAATTATTCTTATGTCCGTGAAATAATTTTTTGATCATGTAAACTATACTTTATACAATTAATTGTGATGATTTACCATGCTTTTCAATATTAAACATTTTAAACTGCATATTATAATAGTTCAAATGAGTAAATAATGTGTTTTTTGAACTACAGGAAATGAAGTCATTATCAGTAGTTAGAATGAACATAGTTCAAACGATCAATAGTTTAAATGAGCAATAGTTCAAACAGCAGTAGTTCTAATGCGGAACCACCTTTTATGAAGACGATATTCGAAACAGTTTCTAATACGATATTAAGAATAATTATTTTACTGTGTGTACTGTCACTGTGCGTGACTCAGTGAGTCTACTCTTCTCTGCCAAGTGTTTAAACTTGACTGTAATGATAAGAAACAGGTTTCATAACGTAATTTGCCTTTCAACCAAAATTCGCGGAATTCAACCTGCACGGAAAATCCACGGGATCTCTGGGGAATCGAAAATTACAACTGGAGTTTTAGAACAAGTATCTAATTCGAGCGTTGGCAAGGTAATCAGTTTTGATAATTTTCTTTCTTTCGAGTCCGCAGGGTCTGTCCTAAAGAACGATTTTTGGACTTAATTNTTTAGGGTTAGGGTAGGTTAAGACACTTTCTGGGCCGAGCGCTGCGGCTAGGATGGGCTAGGGGGCCGAGCGCTGCGGCCACGGGTTAGGTTATTTAGGACACATTCTGGTAGGTAAAAGAAGTAAAGGCAACTTTTGTACTAATTTTCTTGAATTCTATAATTTCTGATTAATTGTTTAATTCAGAAAAGTTTGTTGAGTACAATGCCAGCACTGAAAACTACCGTGAATAACATAATCAAGTCAGAGGAAGATAAAAGGTACAACTATTATTATTTCAAATTGTTTGGGTTTGTCCTAGATAACGATTTTGAATGCCTCCCCTCCCCCCTCCTATAAATTTTGTACATAACCACTAATTTTCAGCAAAATTATTTTTATTTATTTTTTATTATTTAATGGTTTTGGTTATGGTATTTTTAATCGTTCTCTAAGAAATAACCAATTTTTTAAGAGTAAATAATTCAGTGATATATATTTTCTATAATATAAGAAAAATTATTTTTAATGCTCGTGGGGGAAATAAATGAAAAATTTAACAAAGATAGCAAGTTTTTTTTCATCCTTTATGATACTTCTTATGCCCTAAAATTCAGTCGTTTCCTATTAATTTGTTAAGTTTCCCCAATTCAGCAAATAATCACATAAAAAGACATGGCGCTAGCATCTGGAGAAAAGGAGCTTTTTTTTCAATCAATAACATGAAATTTCTTCGTTGTTAAAAACATCGATAAATGGCTATGACCTTGATTACCATTGTTTTGAATTACTAGTAGCGTCTAATCCAATCAGGGTTCACTCACGTGCTTGATGACTACTCAGGACCAATAGAGATTGCAACAGCGGCAGGATCTAACTAATAATCTATCCATTCAATTCTTATAATGCAATTAGAGATACAGTAAATTAGCATTGAAAAATACTTACTGGAACTTACATTACATCAAAACTACGTGGAATCCGAACCCGGAATGAAATGGATCCTGAGCACTGGTGTTGCACTTGCACCTATTGTGTACTATACCTGTGGTAGCTAGCACGACTGATAAACTGGCAAATATGTTTAGACTGTACCGCGGATTAGAGTTGGAGAATGGAATGAAAGTTCTTCTTATTTCTGATCCAACCACAGATAAATCCGCAGCAGCTATGGATGTTCATGTAGGTTAGTATTTGGAACATTTTTTCAATTTTGTTTTGAAGATACCCCCCACCCCTCAGTGGTCCCAAAAGGCTTAGCAGTGAGAGGTCGCAAGTGTTCATCAAATTATCAATTAGATAAATTATTCAATTCACTTATGCCAGTCCCTTCTCATTTTTATATTTAACGTTAGTTGTGTTAATATTCGGCTAACCCCTCTCCGAAACCACTGTGCCCAGTGCCTACCCCTCCCTCATCTTCCTATTTTGGAGTATTTTTTGGGTTAATTTTTTTTGATTATTTTAGGCAGTATGTCTGACCCACGGGAACTCCCTGGTCTTGCGCATTTCTGTGAACACATGTTGTTCTTAGGTACTTCCAAGTAAGTACATTTTTTAATTAAAAGGGTTAAATATTAGTTAAAATTAAATTTTTTTCGAATCATTCGTATGCGATCAATTTTTTTGCATTTTCTTTTCCTTAACACTAGAATCCTTGATCTAGATATCCTGCACACTAGTATCCTTAATCTAGATATCCTGTACACCAGTATCCTTGATCTAGATATCCTGCACACTAGTATCGTTAATCTAGATATCCTGATGAGAATGAATACAACAAGTTTCTGAGTGTGAATGGAGGAAGTAGCAATGCTTTCACAGCTAGTGATCATACAAACTACTACTTTGATATTTCTCCAGATAAACTTGAGGGGGCCCTTGATAGGTAAGCAAATTTTATTAAATGTTTGGCCATTTTTTCCTACAGCTTTATTGATCTGATGCTTCCTACATTAAACATTAAAATTTCTTTAAAGTACTTTTTATCGTAAAAGAATTTGAATTGATTTCTGAAACTCTTGAAGGTTTAGTGTGAAAATTTTCCACTCTAACTCAATAATGTTCAATGTTGAAAACTTTTCATCTTTTCGTCAAAGATTTAAAACGCATTCCTAATTTAACTCTAGAACTCTGATGAAGGCAATAGGCATAGATGATTTTGTATCCACAATAAATTAATCGATTTTTATCATTATCATCATTATCATCCTTTCTATTAGGTTTAGCGAGTTTTTCCGGACACCTTTGTTCACTGAGAGTGCTACTGAACGTGAAGTAAAAGCTGTAAACAGTGAACACGAGAAAAATATTCCAGCGTAAGGATTTTTCCATCATGTTCTACAATATTATATTTACTACAGGGGGGAGTAAAAAAAGACACTGTAGCACTCACCATTCACCATGGTTAATTTCTTTGTTAGATCCATTTCTTAAAATCTGATTGATTTATATCAATTAGAGGTTTGTAGCACTAGCATTTGAAGTTCGTAATTTTTACTTGGTTGAAAATTGATACAATGACTTAAAGTTTACACCCTGTGTATACATTAACTCGTCTCTGTAGAGCTAATAAATAGTTTCTTAAAAGTAGACAAAAATATAAATTTAATTAAATTTTAGATGTTTTTTGCTTTACCTTGGAATTTTAGAAGTAGGCTTTATTTGTTCCAATACGTAGTGGATGAAAAATAAATGTTTTTAATCTAGATTTTTTTTCTTCAGGGATGCCTGGCGTATAAATCAAATTGAAAAAGCTACAGCGAACTCTGAACATGATTTCTCCAAGTTCGGAACAGGGAATATAGACACACTGGATAGAATTCCAAAGGTAAAAGGCGTCACGGGAGCTTAAACCTCATGAAAAACAAATTTCGGGGTCGAAGAAAAAAATAATCTCTTTAAAGATAAACAATTTTCCGTGAAAATCAACTTCGACACGATATGGATAAAAGATTTTTGAATTATAATTAATAACAAAGTAAAATCTATAATTCCAAATATAACAAAGAGTAAACCTAATCCAATACGCTTTTAATTTTAAGAACTTTATTGTTATTCTTGCCATTATTTATCCAAACTTTTTCACCTTAAAGATACTCGATATCAAACAAGCAGTTTTGTGCTTAGCCATTGTAGATTTTATTAAATTTTTTTAGGAGAAAAATATGGTTGTACGAGACGAGTTGCTGAAGTTTCATAGTCATTTCTATAGTAGTAACATCATGGGGTTAGCAGTCCTAGGACAACAGGTTCAACCATTAACAATATTCTATTCAAAAGATAGATTATTTGATTTTTTAATTTATTTATCTTTTATTTTAAAAAAAATAGATCGATTTATTGAAATAAGATAAGGCTTTGCACAACGTACATTGACTTACTTGATTGATAAATTAATCTTTAAAATACTAAGAAGTACCAGACGTTATCTGTAATTTCTTAAAAATTGTTAAATACGGCCGGTATATAGGCTAAATACATTATATATACGCGCTGTTTTATTTTTATGATTTTAAGTAGTTTTTCTAACTGCAGAATGCAGATATTCTTCTTTAAACTTTAAAAATCTTCTCTTTAATGTAGAATTGCCGCTACCTGCCCTAAACCAATACGGTTGTTAATTAAATTGAATAAGCATTTATAAAGGAGAACCCTTATTTCAAAATAAAAAAGAACTAATAACTAATAAATGAAAAAAATTACTAGAATTTAATAAAAATATATGCTAAAAAATCTGTCTTATTTTACAAACAGAAAAAAAACACTGTAGGTCCTACGGGTTCCTTTAAGAAATCTCAGAACTAAACTAAAACAAATTACACTTAATAGAATGATATGATAAATGAATAAATCTTCTAGGACCTGGATACTCTTGAGAATCTGATCATTGGGCTCATGTCTGATGTTGAAAACAAAAACGTAAGTTACAAATCAGTTTTGGATTACATTTTCTGCACTCATATCTCACTTAAACATGTTTTATGTTGCCTGTAAGTGTATGCACATTGCAAATACTACTGAATGCAGGGGTGTCCATTGTATATTGATATATATATAATATTTCAAATAAGATATGTATAGTATCCCTTCTCAAACTTGTTTATTTTTATTGTTGTTGAAATCATCGTTTTTTTCTTTACCCTTTTTTAAAATGGCGTCAATAAAAAAAACACTTAAAAAACCAAACAATTTCTTACATAATGTTTAAAGTTTAGTTTTATCTTTAGCTACAGTATTCAACAAAGTTTAAATATATTATTTTTAGTTAACCACATAACCACATATAATTTATGATATGTTCTTGGCTTGGTTTTGAGATTCTAAGTCGAGTGGGTCGACTTTTTTGATGAACATTTAGTTTTGGTCGATAAAAATCTACCAAGTGCGGGTAAACAGTGGGAGTAACTGTGAGCACACCGTACAGCGCTTGGTTCCCAAGCTAGTTTATAATATAATTATTTAGGTCGAAGTTCCGAGCTGGGCGGAAGCTCCGTTTACTGAGAAAGAACTACAAACTATTACTTATATTGTTCCTGTGAAAGATATCAGGTAATTCAATTTAGAAAACACTGGTAATCAATCATAAATGAAAACAGCAAAGGAACAGAATTTTAAAATTAATTAAAGAAAGTTAGATGATGAACCAGGGGTTCATAATTTCTTGAAAAATCATTGGAGCCCAACATTTTTTCAAGGATTGTTTTCGCTGATTGGGGGAAAATATATGATTTACAAGTGGAAATTTAGATTTTTTGGTTAATGTCTTTTGATGTCCAATTTTTCATGATTTTCCCCCTAATCATCACAAATCATTCATATTTCCTACCCCAGGGGGGGGGGGGTACTCATGTAATATAAACACACCCATGTGATGACCTTTTAAAAATATCTTCCGGTGATTAAATTAATTGATTATTTGATTGAACTATTATTTGATCGATTGATTGACAGGTTAGATTTTAATGTGTTCATTGACTGATTGATTGATTGGTCATTAAAAAAAAAAAATTAATTAGGAGTTTGAGTATAACCTGGGGAATACCTGATCTACGAGATGAGTATAAATCCAGCCCTGGCAGCTACCTGGGTCATCTTATAGGTAGATTTCTAGTTTCCAGTGACAATACCAGAGGGTCTAACTTTATCTTTACACACAAAAAATCAATGAATGAAAATGATGTCTTAAAAAATCGATAAGAATAAGAATCAATATAATGTAATTATAGCACAATAGGGTGACATTTGTAACTTACATTAAAAAATAGCGAAAAGGGAACTTTTATCAATTTACTTACGCTTGAAGTTCAAAAGTCAATTTGAACCAAGCCCTTCAAAGAAAATCAAATTAGCAAAAACAGATAAATTTCGGGCGTTTCGCACCCTCCTAATTGTCAATATTAATATATTAATCTACCTGCAGGACATGAAGGACCTGGGAGTCTGCTGTCTGAGCTGAAATCCCGAGGCTGGGTCAACAACCTCGTTGGAGGTCAAAAATCCGGCGCTAAGGAAACATTGTCAATCAGTAGTAACTAATTTTAAATTTATTTACCATGCACGCATGCATTTCGACCTGAGCACGGCTGACATTTAAGTAGAGTATCAGAATGCAAGGAGAAAGTTCAGCAACCCGGGTTTTTCAAATATAATGTAAAAGAAAATTCGATGTTTTTGTTTATCTCAAGTGACCCTGTATACAAAGATGGCAATCCCTACTTACAACGGTGAACTTGAAACCTTAATCTGATCAAAAAATGTGAGAGAACGCGTCGTTTTTCTGACTCGAAAAGTGTTTATTATTGTGAGTTTCTCCGTTCCTTTTATAAATAAGAAATGCGCAATGTGCATGTCACCTTCTCAGAGAACCCGCAAATGAAAATGAACAGTTTACATTTAAAAGAAAGAGAAATATTATTATCTAATTCAGTACTTGATCACTCATCAGTCAAAGGTGTCAAGGGTAACAGAAATATTATTATCTAATTCAGTACTTGATCACTCATCAGTCAAAGGTGTCAAGGGTAACGTTAAATATATGGACATTGCCATCTTTGCATGTAGAGTCACATGAAATTACGCTCATAGTAGGTTATAAGGCATTTAGTCTCCGGTTCAAAATTAATTTCAAACGAATAAGATATTCTTTTGTTTCTCTGTAGTAGGTTAATATTAAAGGATTTCCAGCCAAAGTGTAGTCAATTTTTTATTTATAAGATTTCTCTACGATTAGAAATTTGCCTACCATGAGGGGTTGGGGTCAATTTAAAGATGAAAATTATTTTTTTGCACTTAAATGGAGATACGCATTTTAGAAATTTTTAATACTGAAATAAGGGATTCATTTTCTAACATGATTTGTGGAAATTTGAGTAAAATATTTTTGAAGTAAATTAAAGAGGTCGGAATTTATGATTAAGTGAGAGGTTTCTGACCTAGCCTTTGATAAAAATGATAAATTGCAGTTTTATATTCTGCTTCTTACCAAAAAAAATTGTTAAACGACGTGATAAACTTTTTCGTTAATTTTTTATTTTATTCTAATTTTACAATAATTAAACTTAATTAAATGAAATTAAGAAAATTAGAAAACTTGAACATTTTCGCGGCCCAACTTCCGAGTGGGAGGCGGCACAGAAATTCTGCTTAGAAGTCTAGGCTTGGGTAAGGAGAGGGTTCGCTATAAGCGTGATCTGTGCCGCGTGCTTATAGCATCTTTCTCATCTAAAATGAGCTTTCCATCCTTAAAACCAATTCATTGATTTATTGATTGATTGGTGGTCACTGGTCAGGGATTCGGTTTCTTTGTTGTGAACGTGGATTTGACCGAGGATGGAATCCAACATATAGATGATATTATTACACTTATATTTCAGGTGAACTAGAAACTATTTCTCAATTAATTATACATGATTTTAAGTTATTTTTTAGATCTAATTATTGGATGTTTTTAGCTTTCTTCTTACAATTTACATAAATTAAAACTGTTAAGTACTAAATTAATTTTAACACAGCATTTAGTTTCTAATCTTATAGATTGTTATTTCTCCTTATAGTCTTAATCTAAATATATATATATTCTGCTTTTCTGGTTGTTCGTTGGTCGGTTTGGTTGTTTATGTAGAATGTCGAACGAATCGAATTAAATATTTTCGTTGTAACTAGCTTTATTGAGTGTTAAGTAAAAATGACGGCTTGAAATGAAAATTTTTTTTGCTGAAATTGTTTCTAGAAAAAAGTAAAGTCTACTCAATACCTTAACAAACATTTCCGGTCCGTGGAATTTTAAATATTTCCAACAAATATTTCCCACAAATATTTCCCATGGATTTTCTTTAAATAAAGCAGCTAATTTGATCCAACTGTTTGGTCAACTATAACAAACATACGTAAAACTATATACATATATAAATAAATAATATATATTTCTGCGAAAAGCTTTATTATATAGATTTGTACTTCAGTATCTTGAGCTGCTGCGCATGCATGGTCCTCAGGAATGGATTTTCCAAGAATGCCGAGATCTCAACGCAATGCAGTTCAGGTACTAGTAGGCCCTGGCCTCCTAAAAATTATTTGTACCATTCTTGGGGAGTTTTTGGGTGATAATTTATGAATTCAAGAATTGTTGATTTCATTGCAAAAAATATTCATTTTTGGGGGTTAAAATATCATAGTGGTTTAATAAGCTTACAATTTTGTCTATTTTCTAAAATCTTATATTTACTTTTAGCTAGAAAAATTCTTAACATATTTCCTAATACACTGAAATAGTCACGTTAGTCCAGATTTGACAAACATCAAGCTAAGAAAGTCTCAGAAAAAAAGACAACGACATGCCTAGTTTAATATTTGAACTAAATGTTTCCATTACAGACACAGTTTTTATTTCTTGAAGTTCAAATAAATTTTTTTTTGGGGGGGGGGGCCAAGTTCGTTCTGGTATCTGTATAGTGTATACCCTCTCTTGATCCATGAACAGTCCATTTACTTTATTATCCTGTAAAGGTTTAAGGATAAAGAAAGACCTCAAAGTTATGTTTGTGGACTGGCAGGACATCTTCATGATTATCCTACTGAGGTAAGTAACCCAACAACAATTAAAGGGACTTGAAGCGTAATTTTAAAGACCCTTTATGCAAAGAGGGCAATGCCGATTAACTCCGTGGTGTGTTCGTTGAGTACAGAGATATGTGTGTGTAAACTTATCGAACGCCGCTTGTTTTCAGCTGCAAACTTCGGTGTGTGCACTTGAATTTACGATTACAGCTCCTTGTAATCCGGAAATATCAATATATCTGAATAACTTGGATTAACTGTTGTTTTTTGTAATTAATAAATTACCAAACGGCTGGACCGCTCTGGTCAAATATAAAAAAATTCTGGCTGTAACAAATGTCCAGTTATTCGTTATTGTAAATCCCTGAATTCAAACAGAAAAATCCACGAACATTCTTGTTTATTGAAGAACTCCTTTCAAACTCGTTGAAGTTTTTTAAAACCTGCATTAAAATTGTTCACTATTACTTTTTTGCTATTTATATGTAAAATAGTTCTACATGACAACAAACCAAAGATTCTTATTAAACATTTGAGATTAAAGATTGAATTTATAGTTGTATAAAGAATTTCAACATCACTAAATACTTCTCAAAATATGGAAATATTGAAATATTTAATATTCTAATATTGTATGTTTAGGAAGTACTAAGTGGAGGTTATCTATTAACTGAATGGAAACCTGAGTTGATTACTGAAGTATTGAATCATTTGATCCCAGATACCGTTAGGGTTGCAGTTACTGCTCAGAGATATGCAGATAGGTACAAGGGTGTTTATTTTTAAGAATTAACCCCCCATGACCCTGGGGGGGTTGATTTTTAATGATCGGGGGGATGGGGGGGAATAAAACCAGACATCAAATTGCAAGTTTTCACTCATTTTGATACTGTACTCAAAAATTTATTTATTTTCCCTACAAATCATGAAGTTCCCCAACTCAGCGAAATAAAACTCAAAAAAAAACATTAACATAAGTAACTTCGGGAGGGGGGGGGGGGAGATGATTTTTAAAAGGGAGGTGGTTGGGAATTGTTTTTTTTTCGAGAAAAAACAACCCCTGGATAGGTAATTAATCAATACTATCATTCATCAACATTACTTAGTAATGCGTGAATTAGAAAGATATGTTTGATATTTAAAAAATAGCTTTAAGACAATTCCCTAAAATTTACTCTCCAATGTACAATTCTATATATTTAAATAGATACTAAATATTGTTCATTAACATGTTGACTGTTGAGTTGAGTCTTCTAATTAATTAATGGGAAGATTTCTCATGATTGCTTTTTTTAATAATTTAGATTATAAAACTAACTATAAATTTAGATGTAATACTGTTGAACAATGGTACGGATCAAAATACAAAACAGAGAAACTGGATTCTCAAAAACTAGGTAATTAATTAAATAAAAAAGATATTCAACATGATATTCTTAATTATTACGTTAAAAAAAAAATAAGTCAAAGATGGCTTGCCAAAAAATAAATATCTTAGTATATTTTGCGTAGGAAGAAAGTGTAATAATCAAAGTTATTATTATAATATTACAAGAAAAACCGTGGAATAGTTTTGATTATTCACCGAAAGGCGCAGCTTTCTTCCTACGCATAATATATTAACATACCTTTAAACTCCTAAAGCCTTAAACCTCGTATTATAAATGATGAAAATTTTTCATCCGAGGCAGAATTTAAAGAGTTTAAGCCGCGGTTTAAAAATTTAAGCCGCGGCTCAAATATGGTTGGTTCCACTTAAATTTATATTAAATTTTTCAAGATTTAAGCCGGCGGTCAGTTAAAACCGGTTTTAGGGGGATTTGAAACATGGCTTAAATTTATTAAATTCGGACACTGAACATAATATTTATATTTCACGTGTTCATGTATATGTATATTGTATAAATAAGGGATATCCGTTTGTATGTCCGTTCATAACCTGGACTGCTTTTCCTCTGACTGAAGAGCTCAGTAGCACCACGGGAATGTTCTTATTTTGGTTTAAAATTTCTCAGTGGAGCGGGTTGACTTTTACAAGGAAATTTTAGTTTCCAGACAAAGCTGGGTTCCCAAGCTAATTAAGTATAAAAACTCTTAAATAATTGAACATTTTATTCAGCAAATCAATGAAAAATAGTCAGTAAACCTTAAATCATTAATCTACTCATGACTCTTGGATTTTTTCTGGACCCTAGATTCTTAAATAATTAAGAAATTGTCGAGTATTTAAAAACCCCGGTTTATTTTTTTATTTTTATTTAAACTTACTCCTGCCATTTTAACTATGTCACCCCCAATGTGCGCATGGGTTCCCTTTAAAAAATTTAGCAAGCATATAAATATATACAGGGTGTTCCAAAAACCTTATACTTTTTTGTTACAACCAATTCTATGAGGGTAGGTCAAAAATCAATTTCCCGGATTTTTCAAATTTTCGATTTTTCACGTCTCATTTTCATTCGAAATTTTTTTTTTTAAATCATAAACTGTTAGTTTAAGGATTTATTTTTAACTAAAATTTCGGATCAGCGATCATTACTTTTGGAGCTAGGGCAATCTGAAAATAAAATATGCATAAAGAAAACGAACCTTGCCGAGACCACAAAATCTTTAAATTTTCTCATTCTTTATTAACGAATAAAGACGTGATAAATCGAAAATTTGAAAAATCCGGGAAATCGATTTTCGAATTACGCTCAAAGAGTTGGTTGTAACAAAAAGTATAAGGCCTAGAAGGAAAAAATTATATCTTGAAATAACTGAAATACAGAGCTTTCGAATGAAACTTTGTTTGTAAAAATTAAACGAAAATTGTTTCCTCTTCGCTTATTTATATTTATTTATTTATATGTTTGCTGTAGCTGGCCATACGGCGGGACCAAATAGGCTGAATTTTTTTGGGGGGAACCCTTGAGTAACCAGGGGACATCAAAGGATAAAAAAATTCTAACTTTTTTCTTCAAAAATTAAAAAAATTGCAAAAATAGAATTTTTTATAAAATCGATATTAACAAATTCCACGGGCAACGCCGAGCACTAAGCCGAATTTGTGTATGGATTCTGTATTATTAATATAATATAAATTACAATTAATCATATATTTTTAGGTCAATAATAGAAACTTTGATTAACATTCTATGATGCTTACTATACTACTACATATCTACATATCTGTATCTTCTGATCCTACGTTTATTTGTATATTTTCTAAAACCATTCTTTCGAAAGAAAAAAATTCCCCCAGAAGTTTTGAGAACCAATTTTAGGGTTTTATTCACTGAGAAAAAAAAAATTTGGGGTAAAAAGGATAAAAAACTTATAGGTTCAATTTTTCTTTATATAATGATATACAGTATACACCATTGCAATTCCTTAATGGCGTATATTTTACTCAATAATCCCCATGAGATTCCTTTATACGCCTCTCAGTAAAGAGTTCTTATTTAACCAATTTTATATCTATTTAGATTCCTGGAGAAACTGTGGTATGCATAATAATCTCAAGTTACCGGACAAAAATGAATTTATTCCTTCGCAATTCCAGCTGGTAGAACGAGAACAAGATAATCCTTCTCATCCTACCATCATTGAGGTAAAAACAATCCGCCCCCCCCCAAAAAAAAACAAAATCAAAGATTATCTTATAGACGTTTCGTTTTTTAAGATTTGAAAAACATTTACTTACAACATTTGAAATTTTATTAACTAGGCTTTGCAGGGTTCGATTTTTTAGGAAATATATTGCTGTTAACCGTTGCTTTCCAAGCTGACATTTTTTTCTTTGTAATATTTTCATAACATTTAACTGGGGTCATGTTAGTTGTCACAAAAAATTTGGGCAAAGACAGACAAGTCAAATTTGTATTTCCTCACACAACGTGTCTTGACAGATAAAGTTTCCCCAGCAAACGTTTCCTCCGAAAACGTTTCCTCCTCAAAATGACTCCGGGCACAAAATGTTTCCTGATAAAAACGTTTCCTCTATAAAATATTTCCTGTTACGAAACCTTTCCTCTACAAAAGGTCTCCTCTCCTGCCAGGCGTGCAACAGGGGGGGGGGCATGGGGACTAGGTCCCCCTAGTCTGACTAAATGGGGGACATGCCCACCCATACCTACACTTTTTAAGCAAACTCAAATTCAACGATAACCATTTTCAATATAAGCTCAGATTCTTTTTTTTTTCTCCCCCCCTTTCTTCAAAAAAAGAGTCAAATATTTTGAATGTGCAACTTAATTTGATGTTGTTATCCCCAGATGTTCTATAAATACAACCAAGTTTAAAATTTAAAGCCCTTTCTAAACAGATGCCCCTTAGTTTATTTTGATAATGCTAAAAAAATTAAAAAGTTTTGCCGCCAACAAGAAAAATAAACCTTTTAAGTTTAAAAAAAAGTGAACCCAAAAAAAGATTTAAGATTGCCCATACTTAAAATTGATCAAACTGAAAAAGCCCCCCAAAAATAATATTTGTGTCCTAAACAAATATTAAAGATTTCCTCAAACTAAAAAATTTGCCCCCAAAAAATAATATTTGCCCCTTAAGATTTTTTTATATAGGTAAGCATATTATAAGGTACAATTACGTAAAAATCTGTATGCTTAACTGTGTGGTATAGAACTTATATATTGCAAAAAAAATCATACCAAGTAATTTTTAGGCTTTTATTTTACATATTTCTTTTGACACAAAACATTTTGAAATGTTTTAAAAATAAAACTTTTTGTTTAAGGTTACATCAAGTTTTGTATCAGAAAACATTTTGTGCTTGAAATGTAATGTGAGTAAATGTTTTGTGGTAGGAATCTTATTGTTCAGGAAACATTTTGTAAAAGAAACATTTTGTGGCAGGAAATATCTAGTGCTCCATTTTTTTACTATTTTAGGAGGATCTACTTGGTAGATTATGGTTTAAGCAAGATGATGAATTCCTACTTCCCAAAACTTGTATTAACATTGGTAATATTTTGTTTTCTGGGTTTTCTGAAGTGAAATGGGGTGGTAAATACAACTTTCCCGAGATCACATTTTTTAATTTGTTTCTAAAACTTGGCAAATAAAGTAAAAGAAAGGGATAACACGTTGGGTCAAGTTGAAGGACACGTCAGATATTGTCATCCATTGACCATTACCTTTTGGAATTTTGTCGGATTTAAGTAAATCAAAATGTGTTGAAGCATGTACAAGTTCCCATTTGACATGAATTTAACATTGGAATTTGGAGGATTGAATAATAATGATATTACTGAAATGATCAATTGTTTTTCAAACTTAATGTTCTAAATTTTCGCACACCATTTAAGTATGTATTATGTATGTATAAGTGTATAGTATATTGTGTGAGAATACATCTAATATAAAAGTAATAATGATAATGAGATTACATTTTTAATCCCCAAAAGAAGTGGTATATTTATTTTCTTGTCAGGAAAAATTAATAATGTTAAGAGGAAAATCAAGGGAAAATAAATAATATTAAGGGGAAATTAAATAATTAAGTTTAAGGAAAAATTTAAATTGGGGGTAATTGTTGTAAATGTTTTTACATTAAATAGATGAATATATTTAGAGATGAGATCCCCTGTTGCATACAGTGATCCTCTCAGTGCAAACCTGACATACATGTTCTCTCTTCTTTTCAAGGTTAGTGCTGGATGATAAACATTGGACAAAAATTAAATAATTGTATACAAGGGGATGGGGTCCTTAGCCTTCCTCTCCTTCACCCCCCACCCACAACTTGGCCAACCTAGGGATCATTGAAATCAATGGTCTGGGGTGTTGCTGAGCTGTGCCCTTTTCAGCTTTTCATCTCTTAATAGCATTTTCAATATTGTCACAATATAAGTGCATAACTATGTAACCAATGTATTGTTAATACTTTCAATATTTTAAAATGTGATCTCTGGTTAAGTGTTATGACCCGATAAACGGATTTGAAGAATTAGAAAAGAACTATATTAAAACTTAAAACATCTGTTTCAAAAGGCTCATGAGAATATTTTACAAAATACAATGTTGTCCCAAGCTTTCTCATATAAATCTTACATTTGATGGCTGTTTGGGTTTCTTGCATGCTGATCCAAATGTCTTCTGTTGGGGTTTTATCAGGTTTCAAGTTCTCTGTATGTCAGGATAATTTCTCCTGCGAATGTAAAGAACTATATGCAACTAGTTTTCAATATGGAAATTACAGAGTTGATGAAGATTAGGTTTATTAGATAAAAACCTTTAAAATGTGTCCTGTGAACACTACACACTGCAATTCTTCCTTGATTGAATGCATGTAGATCAGGATATTCCTGAATTAGTTGCAAGGGAATATTCTCGATTATTTTATCATCCTGCATACATGGGTGGATCACTTTGGTTCAGCCTTCTTTTTTCAGGCTGTAGTTTGTCCTAAAAGGATAGTTCAGATTTTACACTTTGAGTGGCAATGAATAAACGGAAGCCTGAATTCACTAATATTGTCTTGAATGTTTATGATTTCTGACTTCTTACATGATTTATTGAACACATTCTTTACAACAATCTTTCTCTCTAAATCAGTTAGAATTGAATCTTGAGGGTTGGTTTGACATTGTTTCTTAGGGTCCTATGTTTACTGTAGATCTTAAAGAATTCCTCTCCATCCTTGCAACAAACCTGAGAACATAACCTAGGATTCTCACAGAAACTGGCCAGTTTCTGATACAGGGGTTCACAATATATTTGGAGAATAAATATCCAATCCTTGTTCTGAGATTGTTCATGCTTATATCATGTTTACTGCAGTGTGTGAAGCAAATTACTCTGGGTTCTGTTTCATCCTGTAGAATCTCTGGAGAAAAACTTCCTTCAATCTCCTCAGAATAAAGTTTCTCCGTGAAGGTTAGAGCAGAGTACTGTGTTTGATAAGCTCTACATTCAAATGAGAAAGAAGTCCTTTATCCAAGAGAATGAGAGGATTTAAAAGCTTTAACCCAGGACTTATGTACTCCTCCAAGTACACTTTGACAACCACCTGGAGCAGCAAACTTTGCTTCATTTATGCTCAAACCATTGGGAAGGGTCTAGATTATTGTAGTGAAAATATATGCTGTATCTCATACCAATAATGACATTTATTGGTTTACCTCCGACTCCGTCTTCGGTCCTAGATAGCTCCGGACCATCAGGAAACTTATGCCTGTAGGATGTATTAACCTCTTTCCATGCTTCTTGTAATTCCCAATAAGGAAACTGGTTTGTGACTGACTCCATCCTTAAGGCTGACAGAGTAGCTATGGGTTTATAGTTATACAGAGGTAGTGTAAAATCAATTTCTATCTGTGTTCCGCCTGCAACATTTAAAGTTGTTGGTCCAGGTTGGATATTCTCTGTATCCAGCATACTGTAGGCTCAGTTTTATACAGATGCACCCATCCAACCACTATCATAAAACATGAAAAGGTTTCTGTACTGCTGTAGCTGTACATTCCGTACCATGTATATAGGGGGTTCAAAAACATCCAAGGAAATCAAGTTGACCAGCTTCAAGAATGGTCTCATCATTAGGACTGGTTCGGTACATGGCAGCATTTGAAGTATGAAATTCACACATACTCATGTGCATCTGGTTACTTGGTGTCCAATCTACATCTATCTTGCAGGGGAAACTTAGTTCTACAATCATTGTAATGTTTAGAGAACCAGCTTGATCTCTCGTTGAAGTTTACTTCAGAATCCATCCTCAAATATCTCCAACAAGTTTTAGTATCTCCAGCAAAAGCTATTCTTTCTTTCACAGAACTAACCATAAATATTTTACAGTAGTAAAGATGCATGTGCTGCTTACTACACAAACTACAGTTCACTCTAGCAGGGTGAGAAGGTTGAACATAAGGTTTCTTAGATCCATTCTTTTTTCCTCTCTAAGTTTTTCTAGAGTTCCCAAAAGTGTCTATATTTTGTCCATCAGATACACTAAACCTTCTTCAGCTTCTTGGCAGGTTTATTAGCTAGCTACTCCGCAACTTTCTCCAGCTCTACTTAGAAATCATACTGAGATCGGGGGGGGCAGAGCTTTTGTAACTTCAGTTACCATAGGATTGTTGTACAGGTTATTCACAATCTTGTGTTTCTTGGCAAGATTTTCAGATTCTTTAATTTAGAGAGCACAAATATTCCCCATTCTCTCTTCTTAACATTAGAGCCAAGACAACTTACCTCATCTACCATTATATTTTTCCAACTAAGGATGAGTTGAATGAGTATGTTTATGCTGCTGAACTGGCAGGACTAGGATACAGTCTAGCAAACACAAAAGCTGGAATCACGCTTGCAATAAAGGTAAAAAAAAATTTAATAAAATTTTATGTAATTGTTGCATGTATAAATTTACGATATAAATGATTTTTAATTATTGTTTCTAAATTGTCGCAGTTCAGCAATACCATTTTGTATTGCCGAAATTAGCTGCAAGGAGGGGATAATTGAAACAAGAATTCTTTTAACAGCTGCCAGATTTTCCATTTCAATTTTTGCAGTTGCGTGGGCTTGAACCATTAATCCTTAGATTATGGATTAAACACGCTTACCACTGCTCCATCAAACCCTGATGATTGAGAAACGAAATAAGGACCAGAGAGCTCAACCAACTCATTTTAAGTTGAGGTTCTTGCATAATGCTAATTAGTACACCTATTCATCACCATAGAGTGCTCAAGTTTAGCGGACTAAACGAGCATATATTAATAAATTTAGATATATACCACCATGATATATATATATATATAGATAATCTTAACAGGCTTCGTGTTACGAATAATTTGTTTAATGTATAGTGTACTGTACATCCAGCATTCTGATTCCTGTACCCCTTTTTTAATATTCGCAAAATTCATAAATAACCCATTTCAGCTAATCTCTGTATTGTTGTAGGGATACAGTGACAAGCAGAAGGTTTTGTTAGAGAAAATTATGGATAAATTAACATCATTCCAGGTATGCAAATATTCTACATACTTTTATTTCAGTAAATGCTTGACCAGGGGCAGCTTATGATATTTTCTAATTACTAATTACTTCATCGGAGGGATAATAATTAACATTCAGGACACTATTTACTCCATTGGAGGGATGGTAATTAACACTGAAGAAACTCATTACTGTTAATTATCATCCCTCCGTTAGAGTTATTTGTGTCCCAAGTGTTAAATACCATCTCTCTCCAATGGAGTAATTATTGTGCCAAGTGTTTTTTACATCACTCCGATGGAATAGTTGGTGCCCTAAGTGTTAATTACAATCCCTCCAATGGAGTAATTAGTGTCTCAAGTGTTAAATACCATGCCTCTGGTGGAGCACTTAGTGTTCTGATTGTTTAATTACCATCCCTTCGATGGATTCTTTAGTGCCTTGAGTGTTAATTAACATCCCTCTGCTGCAGCTGGAGTAATTAGTGTCCTGTTAATTAACATCCCTCCGATGTAGTAATTGGTGTTCTGAATGTTAATTACCATCCCTCTGATGGAGTAATTATTGTCCTGAGTGATAAATACGATCCCTCTGAAGGAGTAATTAGTGTCCTGAGTGATAAATACCATCCCTCTGATGAAGTAATAAGTATTGAATTATAATTGAGCATTCCCTTCGCTGAAAACAATTCCTGTCCGGCGCAGTGGCCTCCGCTGCAGCGAAGGCCACCCAATATGCTGCTGCAACCTTCAATCTCTCAAAAAGTCGTCACCTTGACAAGAAAAAGTGGTGCCACAGGATAAACATTTTTTTAATCTATTAATCTATCTATTAAAAAGCAAAATATAAGGGCCTATTAGGTGCCTTTCTCTGGCACTACTAATATTTCAGGAGGTAGACGTCCCCCCAGTTTTACCAGGGAAAGGGACATCCCCTTTTTTCCAGGGGGGACGTTCCCCTTCACATACCCCTTCAGAAGCTGTCCCAGTCTCCCCCATGATTTACACTCAGCTCATAACCTTGATTCATTGGAACTTGAATGGAAGTATTTGAAATATAACGATTTAAGGGTTTACCGTAATTATTATTAATATGATTATTATAATTAATATTATTATTATTATTAAACCAAATAAGACAAAGATCAGCTTTTAATGAAATATTTAATAAAATTGAAATGAATAATGACTCAAAGGTTAATTACTTCCCTGATTTACTTGTTAAATTAAAATATTAAATACGCACAATTTATTTTTTAGATTCAATAAAAAAAGAAAAACCTTGGTTTGCATGTTGTTTAGAAAACGTTCCACAAACCAAAAATATCTTTGATCAAAAACTGAATTCGCAAACTGAATTCGCTGTTAATTTAATCCAATCTCAGTTCAGTTAAAGGGAGTGGAAGCCTTATTTCAAGTGACCCTTTATGCAAAGAAAGAAATGTCCGATTCAAAACGGTACCATTGAAACCTTGTTTCCAGGTGAACGAGAAGAGGTTTGATATTCTCAAGGAAGCTTATGTCCGAGGATTGAAGAACTTTGCAGCTGATCAACCTCATCAACATGCAGTATACTTTAACTCAGTTGTACTTGCAGGTATTCAGTAGTTTCTTTACAGCCTCCATCTCGCAATTGACTTTCAATCAGAGTCTCTGCACTGCGCTTGCCCGTATCGCTTCCTATCCTCATCCTACTGGCAAAATGTCTTTTTAATACTAATTTCCTCCTAATAAATTCTTTGTACATAACCCCCNTATACGAAGCTGAAGGTGATAGAGCAGCCCCTGCTTACATTAGTTTCAAGGGTGACGGGGGAATAAATGAAATTAATCGACTTTTTTAAGGTCCCCCTAGAATTTTTCAAGGTTTTTAGGTAATTTGTATGTCAACCCCTGACACAGGAGTGGGAGGGTAGAATGTGGCTCCCCCTTAATTGGAATCTGGGTTTTCTTTAAAATTAGCAGAATTAGACAAAAGATTTAATTTAAAGAATGAAAAAGTTTTAACAAACTCTTTAAACAGACTGATCCTATTTAAATAAACAGATTGATCCTATTTAAATAAACAGACTGATCCTATTTAAATAAACAGACTGATCCTATTTAAATAAACAGACTGATCCTATTTAAATAAACAGACTGATCCTATTTAAATAAACAGACTGATCCTATTTAAATAAACAGACTGATCCTATTTAAATAAACAGACTGATCCTATTTAAATAANCCCCCCCCCCTGTTCCCTTTCCTTTGGAGGTTTGTTCTCGCGACCGTCCTCCCCTTTCCCCAGCTTTTTGTTTCGTCTTGTAGTTGTAATTTTACTTGAATTTCTTTCAACGTTCCTCGTACTACGGGAGGGAGGGAACCCCTAGACACCATGAGCCTTTGTTATGCTGACACGAGCCTCCCAGATTTTCTAGGCAGACTGAGCCTCAGCTACGCAGTAATGAGTATGCGCAATACATCAAAATGTGCCTGTTTTATACAGCAGGTTTTTTTAAACTTGTGTTTAAGTTTAAATAAAAGATTTTTTTTACAAATATTTTGACAAAGTGGCACGAGAGAATTTATCTATTATCCTAAATAGTACCCAATTATGACTAATTAAGTTTGTCATTACAAAGAAAATCCAAGATTTAGAAAAAGCTGTGGTGTGTGGTGGAGGCTCGTTTACTGCATAGCCGAGGCATGGTCTTCTTAGTGAAGGTACTGTCTGCATAGCGCAGGCTTGGTCACTGGTCAGCATATTGGAGGCTAGGGTGCCTAGCAAATCTGGGATCCTTGTGTCTGCATAGCGGAGACTGATGGGGTCCAGGGGTTCCCTCCCTCATTACAGCCCCTTTCCTGTTATTTCATTTTGTAATTGTTCTCTAAATATCTGAAATATCTGATACTAAATAAATATAATACAATATAGATTAAATAGTCTGAGTTTAGGTCCAACAATTCCAGAAATATATCTGTAAAGAACTCAATATTGAAGATTTTCTTTAATATTGGTATTTCTTAATATTTTTCAATTGTTATTTATCGTATTATTATGCTATGCCAGTATTTTTATATAAAACTCACGTTGCATTGAATCACTTTAAACATATTCATAGTAAACAAAGTACCTACTGTATACAGAGTACTGAACGAGGGAGGGAAGGCAACCTCCCCCGCACAGCTTCCGAACCTCATTTTACCTATTTGCGGCAGTGCGCGTCCCCAGAGGGTTTCCGAACCTCCCTGTCATATTCCTTCGTCATTAAGCAAAATCTGTTTATCCCACTTTACTGCATAAATTTGACTTTATTCCTGGCCTGGGTCAATTATACTCATATTACATTGGATTAGGTCCAGTCGCTTTCTGGGCCGAGCGCTGTGTGCGGCTAGGGTGGGCTAGGGGGCTGCACGCTGCGGCCTGTAAACCAATGAACTAAATGTTGGCTCCCCATACTATGGGTTAGGTTAGGCTCCCTGGGGCCGAGTGCTGAGGCACCACACCAGCAATCTTCCAATTGGATATGTTGTTTTATACCTTGGTTACTATAGTCTTGGTTACCATAACCATTATTTTGGGTTAGGTTAGCTTGTGACACGTTCTAGTTGAGAAAAATGTTCTGATCGGTACCCTTGAGTCAGAATATAAATAAAAAATTCAATTCAAATGTGAATTTTAAACTCTTCGAATAATTTTAATACGGAGAGTATGGCAGTAACAGTAAGGTTGCTAGGATAAGAAAATAAGAAAATTCAAGGTTTTCATTGTTTAAACCGCTTGTGTCTATTTACTAATTGGAAATATTATAGAAAAGTTCTGGCATAAAGAGGAATTAATATCCTGCCTGGATTCCCTTACAGTTGATGAGCTTAGAGCTTTTATACCTAGACTCCTGGCTAATATCAAGGTAGGTCGCCCAACAATAGATAAGAGACTAGACAAAGGGGATTTTAAAATAAAAATCAGATCATTGAATCCTGAAAATAAACGTGTTTTTTATTCCTTGATTCTAATGGGGGGGGGGGGGGGTTATATTAGTTTTTTTATCCTTCAATTTTTGGGGAAAATTAATTTATGTTTATAAAAAAAAAGTATCTAAAATTTCTTTTTAAAGTCACAATTTTTCCCTCAACTTTCAAAATCGCCAATTTATTAGTTAACAGTGAAAACATTTAAAAGATGAGATTTGTAATCTGACAAGAACGCCAGATATCCGCTGTAATAGGAAAAATAATAGATACAAATCCATTAATTTTTATTTTAACCGATTTTAAAACAATCCAGAAAATATGAAAAGTCAATTCAAGTCTTGTTTATTTTAAAATTGACTTTTTTATAGTGGATCTCGAGATCAATGCTTGATTTCGATCTTTTGTTAATCTTCAGATTAATTTAAGTTGGGGTTTGAAGGGAGCATAGATCTGTGGAGGAATAACTGAAATAAAGAGATTATCAAATTTAAAATGCCCATTGTGGATATCAAGATGAAGCGATCGGGATTATGAGTATTCAACAAAAGTTCTAAGCGCAGTTATGATAAGTATTTTGTTTAAGTTTACAGTTTTGATTAATATTTTGTTTAGCTTGAGTGCTTGGTGTACGGTAATAGTACTGCAGATGAGGCTAAAGAGCTCTATAATTATACATCCAAGAGATTAAGAGAAGAATGTAACTCAAGGTAAACAAACTAATACAGTTTATATACAGGGTGGCCAAAATGTACGGATTGTACGGATTGTACGGATTGTTTTTTTTAACCCTGAAATTGTACGGATTGTACGGATTGTTCGGATTTGTTTTCAAATTGTACGGATTGTACGGATTTTTATCCTGGAAAATACACATTTTTTTAAATTTTCACTCATTTCAGCAAATTTTTCATGAAAATTAAAAAAAAAATTCCCGTTAAAATGAAGTTAGTTTAACTTATTTTCTGCATTCTAAATAATATTAGATTGATTAATGTTTCAATTGACAATCAAAATTCATTCATAATTTTCGAGATATGTCCAAGAAGTGTTTATTTGAGAATATGTTCCATAAGTACTTATTTGATTGCTTATTCAAGAAGATGTTCCAGTATCCTGTAC